GGAGCCTGCCAGCTTTTCCGCCAGCGAGCTGGCTTTGCCCGCAGGGTCAATCGATTTCGGCGATGCAGGTAGGCTGGCTTATGCAACCAAGACAAGAACTTGATATTCAAACTAAATGTCACTCCCAGCCCACGCCCCCAAAAGCATATAGACGTAATTAAATCAGCATAAGATAAGAAGTTTGTTGCCTAAGTCTTTTGTTTGCCAGGTTGAGGCTGAAAAGTGCAAACAAAAATTCAGGGTGTGCGCTATTCAAACAAAAAAAGCAGATTTAATTTGCATGAATTATTATTCTATAATTTATTTTTACAATTTTGTTTTGTCAGATTTATTCGTCCAATTATAACTAGACTTTGGTCGATAAAACAAAAATATCAATATGAAAAAAATGTTAACGTAAAGGATATGTATTTTTATGGCTCACTAGACATTGTAAAATATTCATTGCTTGGAAATTTACTGTATCGGACATTTTATCCACCAAAGTTCTGAATTTTATTGGACACAGACTTCTAACTTCCTGTTTTCAACCACAAAACGTGTACGTATATACCAACAATTTGATTTCTTCGTTTAAATTCAGCACAGGCCTTGTCCGCTGTGACTTCCATGCCAATCTCCCTGGTTACTCATTGTAAACTTCTTGAAAATGTTTACGTGTATTATGCATACACTTAACACCGCTTTTATAGGCCTGTAACCTTCAGAAACAAACAAAATTGGGAAAAATACTGAGAAACTGCAATCGTAAAAGAGTACTTTTTAATGGGATTTGTTAAGAGCAAAGTCCGTGCTATAGAAAATTAAATTGCAATAGAAATTAGCAAGTGTATTTGCAGTTAAATCTTTTTATTTATTTGGTTTTTTAACGCTTTTGAAATGGCAAGTGGAATATGTAAAAAAAAAGCGACAAGCAAGTCATCGCCTGTGCCACTTGAACTTGACACACTTACACATCGTTTCGGGTAAAAGTTATAAAGCAGCGCCGATACGCAAACCTCGGGGTAAATAGAAATTATGACGCAAGTCGGAGCAAGTAATAAATGCAGAATAAACACAAGAGATAATCCGAGCCTCGACATCACTTTGAAATATTGCCAATTACATTAATATAATCAACCACGAGGTGTTGGCCAGTGTGTGTGCTTTATTTATCGGTGTGTTGTTTGCGCTCTTGCGAAAAGAGTTCAGCGTCAACAAAACCAACAACGAGGCTTAAATCGGATCCGAAACCGGCTGCTGTCGCTACCAAGACTACCGACTACCAAGACTACTGCCAAGCTGACATAAAGCGAAAAGCTGAAAAACTGACCTACATCAATGCGTAAGCGGCGCTGCTGGGCTTGTGCCAAACTGAAAGCTGCAATTGTAACTTGGCTCTAATTGCGCAAAGAAAACCGTCAACAACAAGTACTAAACACAGTGCGAGCAGAAACATATTTACATTTGCTTGTGCAAACAAAGGACTTAGGCAACGAACTTCACTTCGACCCAACCCTTTTCTGTCACCTCTCAGTTTTGACATTTTTAGTGCTGATTTGCTTCATGCCATTATAACATGCGGTGCGGCTCACCTTTGACATTGAACTTGTCGGTGGAAACAAAAGGAAAAATGTAAAACAAAACAGTGGGAAACAAATTTGGGCACTCAAGCCAAATGACTTAATAGGAGCTGTTCACGTGCGTAATTCGCCTTTGCATTTACCAAAGTTTAGCTCATTCTTCAAACGCTTAATTACAAGACTTAAATTCGTTTTCATATCTTTTAATTTTTGGATTGCCTTGGCAAGGAACATTAAAATAATTGCTTTCCGCTTGTCATTAGAAGGAGAAGATAAAAACAATTAGTGGCGTGACTAAATATCATTTTAAAAAGAAGAAACTTTATAGCTTCCATAAACACGAAGTAATCCAGATTAAAATTTCATTTGATTGTACAAATGTTTCTTATAGTAAAAAGTTATTTTGCATATACATTTAATAATATTTAACAATTATTTCTTATTGTCCTTTGGTTTCTCCTTACTAATTTAATTGGTTGGTAAAGGGTACAATTAAAAGTTTTATCGATATTACGTTCTTAGGGATTGTTGTAAGAAAATGTGCTAAATAAATATTTTAAAATTAATGACTTTAAACATTATTGCAATTATAATGTATTGATTTTAATTTTAATAACGCTTTTATTGAAGTTTATTAATTTATTTGCAAGGAAAACTACCCAATACCTAGTCAGGCATCACCCTGACACAGACTTCATTCGAATGTGACAGAAGACACGTGGTGACAGGGACACGTGAACTTCGTCATGCCTGGTTGGCTGGCACAAATACCGAAAATGAAATAAATATAATAGTTATAATCTTCCCTTGGTCAGGCGCTATGCTATGCCATGCCTCGACGAACTCAAATCATGAGGCTAGCCATGACTTAACCGACCTGTGAACTAACCTTCCATAACTTTCGCCTTTCAGTTGCACCACCGCCAGCCGTTTTGTCCGGTGGCTCGAATGAGGTGACACCCTGTAGTCTCAGCTCACCGGAGCTCAACGAATGCATACGCGGCTTGATTCAGACATTTGCCCCCAAGTTGAGGTACCAGGGAGTGCCGGAGTTCAATATGGACTCGATCGATCCGTACTTCTACAAGAGGGGCATCTTCCGGTACACCAACGATGGCATCCAAGGAGGACTCCTGATCAAGAACATGGAGATCTACGGGATCAGCCAGCTGCAGGTTAACAGTGTGGCTGCCAATTTCACGGATAGCGACTTCATCATTAAGTTGGGCGTTGAGTTGCCGCAATTAAAGGCAGGCGGACACTTTAAGGCAGACGTAAAGTTCGGGGGACTGCGTCTGGTGCCCAAGGGACCCTTCAACATCACCATTGGTGAGTAGTGGCTTTTGCTGGGAATAATTAGTGCGACAGATGCCTGACACTTTTACAATCCCCAGACAACATCAAGGCCACCATTCTGACCGATGGCCACATCGAACAGCTGCCCAGCGGTCAGAGGCGTCTCAGTTTACATCGCCTGAATGCCAATGTCAATATCGGTGATGCCAAGGTGGTGGCCAATGGGATCTTCTCCGATCGCAACCTGAGTAAGCTACCAAGTCCCCATATAAATTATCTTATTTCTGATGCACTTTTCTTCCACTCTAGATGCCATGATTCTCAATCTGGTAAATGAGAATCTGCCGGAGATTACTCGCGTTGGAATTCCCGCCACCCGCGAACAATGGGCTCCCATTTTAATTGCGCATATCAACGAGTTCTTCGCCAAGGTTCCCATCGAGAAATTCCTGGTTCAATGATGCACTAAACCTATTCTCAAGGAACACTTAGCTCCTAGTTAGTTTTAGCCTAATGTGTACAATTACAATTATACCTTAAGCGCTGTTTCCAAATAATTTTCTATGCACAAACGATTTGGCAATCATTCGGAATGATTTTCAACATAACCAATTTGTATTTATTTATGTCATCCAATCTGAACAATAAGAGAAACTATGTGAAAATTTTAAAATAAACGCTATTTTCAAAAAGTTTATATTTATTCAAATGTGTTTTATATTTAATGCAGACTAAGGTTTATCACTTTCGACTATGGGTCCCAAAAGTATGCTCTTTTAGATGATCGCATGTCATGTAATGTATATGTCATGTAAAATCTGACAGGTAAAATTTATGTATCTTACGATTTGATCTGGTTATAAATATCGTAATTTTGTTCAAGGTTAATTCTCATGTTTTTATTCCATAAAAGTTATAACAAAAAAATATTTAAAAATCAATATTTCTTATATCCAAAATTTGGAAAAATCTACTTATTTTGTGATCAATTATGGTCAATGGTTGGAATGTCATTCCTTATTGAATTCGTTATAAAATTTCCATTCAATTGGCGTTCAAAGGTAAACAAATTAATTTTTTCAAAAAGATCATCAATGTAAAGACAAAATTTATTAGTTTTTTGGCTGTATAAGGTCCACAGGACTCGAAAGGTCTTTTTTTTTACATTAAAACATAAACATTTTCTTAGATATTTTTACACCTTCACAAAGTTAAAATATTAAGGTGACATTCACAGTTCTAAGTTAAAATGTAATTCAACTGTATGAATCTATAGCAAAAAATGAATAGAACAAGCTAATCGTCCTATAAATAAATATTTCAACGGTTCCAGTTTTCAAGTGGTTCACTAAACACTGAGTGGGCAAAAGTCCCTTGTCAGAACATCCAATTGACTCGCAAACTGAATGAGCTTGAAGATGCTGAGAACTGCAAACTCGATCGATACCAATCCCACTGGAGCGCTTTTCAAAAACAATATTCAACACTCCCACTTGTCGATCAATCAAAGGGGCGAATATGCCCCAAGGCTCCCAATTACAGACAATTAGTTGGCAAAATATTGAAATACAATTATCCCGCAAAAGGTCCAGGCCGTGACATTTAACTTTCCATCGATCAACAAGTGGGACGGGAATCGAGTGCTGTTCTTGAAATGATCTGACCGATTCTCAGGAAACAATTGACTTAATTTGTGTTATTTCTAACACCCAAGGCGCCGCCTGAACTCAGCGTGGATAATGCGATTGGAACAGAGCCCTGATTATTGTCGTTTTTAATTGAATCCTGAGTCAAGAGGTGTTGTTCCTGTCGCCAGTTCATTGCTCGCCACACCAGATGTAGTAAACTTTGCATATTATTTATTAAAAACACTTGCATCAGACGATGAATTCAAACGGGTCCACTTCAACTGGTCAAGTGGAAAATGAAGTACCAAATGCAATGTGCACCATGGAATTTAAATGGAAATTCTATCTTGTCGTACAGTGAAAGATTAAAAGGGTAAGGGAAAAAAATTGGTTATTATAAGTTATTTTATAATCTTGCAGATGACATTTGTGTTGACTTTATATAAAACAAATTGAGATCATGCTGATAATGTTATAAGTGCAAATGAAATGGTTCTCATCTATCGATCTTCCAAATAACAATATTTATGTTAGTAAATGCTCAAAATATAAAATATTATACATAATAAAAAAATTTTGGACTTTCAAGAAGGTATGTTTAATGGAAGTTTTCCATATGATAATACTTGTGCTTACTTTAAGTGTATTGAAAATAACAATAACTATTTAATACTTTGATATTCTTTTTATCATTATTGTTCGAATGGATTGTTTAAAAGGTATTTCCTGAATTTTTCTAAGTGCATAATAATAGCCAACTGGGCCAGAATAAGAAGATGCAACCGCAGCTGGATTTTTCTTTTATTAGTATGCAGTCGCACAACTTCCCGGCGGCTGCTGCGAGTTGCCCGCGATTTTCAGTCTGAGTTGGTGCGTGTTCCGGATCGGATTCTGGTTAGAGGAGGACTCTGCCGGCTGGCTGTCTGGATGTTTGGCTGCCTGGTGGGCAATGGAAACGGAGGCGTTGCTGGAACTAGTTTGGACGTATCGCTAGCATCGCGTGTGCATTAGAAGGCGGCCCAATAAGTTGGCCAAAAGAGATCCGGCGATCGAAACGCGTTCATAATTGACATTTCGGCTGCCCCGGCCACAACATTGCTGCCGGCGTCGCTGTCGCCGGCTCTGCTGCCGTCGACGTTTGGCCAACGGAGCTGTTAACCAAACCCCAGAACCTCCGTTGGCTCAGAAGCGATCGGACCTCCCAGCCAAACAGACGGTCCTGTCCGTCTAACGCACGATCCCGAGAATCGACTCCCGAGTTCCGACATCCAGAGCAAGTCCAAGTCCAAGTCCGAGAACTTCGTCTTCGTCTTCGCGATCGTAGTCGTGGTCAGGTGAATGCCATCGGGGCAACGTGCCTGGCATTCGAAGAGATATACATTGAGTCGCGATTCGTGGTGGCGGTTCTTTATACTGTTTAGCACAGCCAATTTATATATGGTCTGCCCCGTTCAAAACGAAAACAAATTGGGAAGATATCACCGCAGCGAAGGCAACAAATATCAAAATGTTTGCATTTTTGCCAGTTTTATTACTTTGTGTGCATTTGTTGCATTTTAAAATAATCTCGGGAGCAGATATCCCATCCATTTCGGGAGGGGCTGGAGCTCCAGTTCCTGTGTGGCAAAATGGTGAAATAAATGCGGCACCCGAGGCAGGATTTTTAAAAGCCAATTCCACGGCTGATGAAAACTTAAATGTAGCTGTGGACGGTAAGTGAAGTGATTGGACGCATGTACAAAAACTACAAGCTCTCTGTGAAAAAAAATATGTTTGGTTTGTTTCGAAAGACTTAAGGCACGAACTTTGAAAATATTCAGATGAAAATATTTCTAATAATACCTAAGAGTATTTTTATATGATCAGATTTCTTTGGAAATCTTATAAAAAACCTTTAACAACCTTAAAATTTGTCTAAGTAAATCGTTAAAATTCGATTTTGACAAAAGACACATTTTTCATTTTTATGTGGCTATAAATATGTGAAAAAAACATTCCTTTTTTGATTAAGAATACAAGATTAAAAAAGTGACTAATTATTGTTTTATTATTACGTTATAATAAATTTGTTGCAACAAGTTTTATGATACAACTAAACTTTTGACTATTTCCCATCGTTATAATATTAAATTAAACTTAAAGTTAAAAAAAATACTTCTGAATAATAGATATATCAGCACTATCAATAGCTCGTCTTCTTTATACGTCACTAATATAAATTTAAGTTCAACGACATCGAAATACCATTTTTCTGATTCGACAGTAGAATTTATGCATCGCACGCACCAAGCATTGCTTGTTTGACCTTCAAAAATCTATAAATCGTTTATAGCAGCAGAGGGAAAATGCGAAATTGTGTTCTGCGAGTGTTTCCAACATTGTTTACCTTACAGCCTCGATGGCTTGTTGTTAGGCCCGGCCCTTTGAGCCAGATATAGAAAGCGTACTAGCGCAAAAAAAGAGAACTCATGTAGGCGTGAACTTTCAGATCAACTTCATCGCTTTTCGATCGTGTTCTGTCGCCTGTCAATGTCCCCGCCAATCTATTCTCTCTTATTTATGGCCAAACAATTAGACAATTAGGCAGCACTTTTGATGGAGAGGCGTGATCGGTGGTGATGTCTTTTCAGGCGACGACATAAGCCTATTAATTTGGGATGCCTTGCAGATTGGGTCATAAACAGACACCGTGTATAAGACAATAAGCCGACACCTTTCGCAGATTTCACAGGCCATATTCATTAAAAATTAATTTTTATTTGCATTTTGTCCACTTTGCTCGATCGCTGTTAACAACGCTTGCAATCGTAATCACGATAAATATCATTTATATGACCGTTGGTCATATAAAATTTAAATGCCACCATAAAGTAGACCTCCAACTTGAGATCTGTGTGATCCTGCGTTGGCATTTAAATTTGAGTTTGTAACGGTCTTCAGACCTTGAACTTGTAACTTGCCCCTGATTCTTAATAAACGCTTTGCTCTTGGCGAAAAAAAACAAGTTCCATCTTGGAATGGGTGTGTTTCCAGGACTTATAGAGGAATGAGAGCTTCCAAGAAAAAATAGATTTACTTGTATTATTCATTAAATATCTAAAATATTTTTATAAACCATTTTTTACTTAAAAACATTTTTTGTATTTATAAATTTGTATGTCGTGCGAAGTGTGTCGAATTCCAAGCAGGATCAACGATCAATCAAGGGGAATTTGTTGCGCTGATTTTCGACTGACAGCTTGTCATAACAATTTAAAAAGAATCAAAATAATGTCCCAGAAGCAATAAGCATAAAAGCACCAATTTAAGACATTATTTGGGGCAAATGAGTAATATTTCAATGACTTTCTTTGGGAATCCACACTTACATACATTTCGGTTTATAATTCCAGTTAAGTGAGTCACAAGGTGATTAACAATTTTCGTTGGGTGTAAGTCTTACTTTGTAAAATGAAAACTTAAACCAAAAATCATGCATATTCATTACCGATTCGTAGCACGCCCTGAACGTATTCTTCATTACGAGTTGTGTCGGTGAAAGAAAACCACGTGCAGATTAGTAAGACTCGCGGTTCCAACTTCTTCTGAAAATCGCTTTAATGATCGATTTAGAGTCCATAAAACTTGCACCTCATCGAAGACATTTAAGTTTCCGACTGTCAATAAGCTCGTTTAAATTAATCGGCACAAAAGCAAACAGCTCGTTAAGAATAATAACTTCGAGTTAAACGGCACAAATTGCTTATTTAGTCAAATTTTATGCGCTGCCCAGCCATTCGACTATATATGTGGGCCAAAAGCAGACCAAAACATGAGTAATAAATTAAAAATATGGCAAATTCATGCTAAATAGCAACAACAACCGTCACATCAAAAAAAAAGTCCAAATAGAGTCGGCGAGCTAAACAAAAGCCTAGACCAATTTTAAGAAGCTGCCAATGGACATGACAAATATATGACAATTGACAGTAGAAAGTTGCCGCAGTGGGGGGCAAGTCCAAGTCCAGCATCTCTGAAATGGCACAGCAATTGTCATTCCGTGTGGAAAAAGCTTAAGTTTATTGTCAATATTCTGGGCAACGAAATATGTCAAAATATTGAGTAATCACTCTCGACTGGCGGAGAAGCGTGGACCCGAAACTCGAAACGTGAACGAATGTTAAGCAAATATTGGCTTGGTCTTTTCTCCACTCTTTTTTTTTTTTTTTTGTTATTTGGGTGCTTTGTCAATAGCGCAACAGATTGGCCAAAAAAATGGGTTGTAAAGTACCACAGTTTTGGCTAGACAATTGCGTATGTAGCTCAGATCTTTCCAGAGGTCAACAAACTCTGATCTTGAGTGCCACTAGAAAAGATCAACGGCTTCCCAACAGGCACATCCATTTTCACTATTTATTTTTAAGTTTTGGCCTATTTTTGGTAAATAATAAATCATTTTATAAATTTCTTTTATAAAATATATTATAATAGAATGTTAAGTAAATAGTTAAATTACCTGTATACATTTCCAATTATTAAACTAGAAACTACAAAATCAAATGGTTGTTATTTCATATTTATTTTAATAAGCTATTAATTTATATTAAATATTGGAAATATTTTTTTCCCATTTAAACTGAAAATTCTGCTAAACGTAATCCTTTAGAATGAATTTTTGTTACTTCTTTCTAATCTGCAGATTCCTCTTCGCAAAATCTGAGTCGCCAGCGACGTCAGTTCTTCTTCGATCCGAGTATTTTTCTGTGGCAAGGAGGACTTGGTGGCTCCGGTGTTCCAGGTGGCTGGGGTCCTGGCGAGGGATCCAAGTGCCTCACATCCCTTGGCCAACCGGGTGTGTGTGTCCGCATCGATGGATGTCGGCAGTATTACAGGGTGGCCCGGCAACTATCCATCTTCACCTTGCGCCAGTGGCCACAGACCAATGGACTCGGCCTGAATGGCAACATGTGCAACTTCTTCGATCTGCTGGGCAGAGTGAATAATGGAATTTGCTGCACGGACATCGATGCCAATACTTTTGGAGTCTTTCCACTGCCGGGCACAACCACGACCACGACTACGGAGAAGCCTTCAGTGGCAGCAGATGAGGAGGATAGGGTGGATGTGAATCCTGAAGTGGAGGGGGATGCTGAACAGCCCGTGGATAATCCTCGACCGGAGGACCCAATCGACAATGTGAATAGTGTGGAGGACATTCCAGACTTCCAGGACGTCAACACTATCGAGGGTAATGCTCCTCCAGAAGTGGATGCCCAACCCGAAGCGGAACCCGTGGAGGAGCCGGTGGTGCAGCCTATTCCCGCCCAGCCAGCCTCCACCATTTACCCCTACCAGTGGCCATTTGGATCCTTTGCCGGCGGAGTGGCCCAGTGGCCACCGGCACTGCCCACGCATCCACCCACAACGGGCGGCTGGCCACCACCGCTTCCCACCCATCCACCGAACCACCATTATCCCACGCACCCCACCGCCGCCGGAGTTCCGAGTACGAAGCGGACCACTCCACGACCCACCATCATCGCCAGACCCACCACCACCAGGCGTCCCACTTATCCCAGTTATCCCACGGTTGCCGCAACCACAACTACGACGAGGCGTCCTGCGAGCGGAAGTAGTCCGGAAGGACTCCCTCTGCAGTGCGGCAACAAGAATCCTGTGACGCCCGATCAGGAGCGGATTGTGGGTGGCATCAACGCCAGTCCGCACGAGTTCCCCTGGATAGCGGTGCTCTTCAAGTCGGGAAAGCAGTTCTGCGGCGGCAGTCTCATCACCAACAGTCACATCCTCACCGCAGCTCATTGTGTGGCACGGTAAAATAGGAAAACCTTTTGTGTCTTAATTTGTTATACATTTTGTTATAATTCCAGCATGACTTCGTGGGATGTGGCGGCCTTGACTGCCCATCTGGGTGACTACAATATAGGCACTGATTTTGAGGTGCAACATGTGTCGCGCAGGATTAAGCGGCTGGTGCGTCACAAAGGATTCGAATTTAGCACCCTGGTAAGAGCACACATTTTTAATTGGAACAATCTCATTGTTTTTTAAAATCCAAGTTAATTTAAAAAAATTGGCAACGGGGTTCCTAAATTACACAAAGAAAGAATTAACCAAAGAGAACATATTTTGTAGTCATTTTAAACTTTCAATAAATTTGTTTACCTTTACTATTTCTTATTACCATGTTTAGTATTGATTACCACATAGACATTATAAAAAATTGTTTTTTAAATAATAAATTCATTTTCTTTCTAGCACAACGACGTTGCCATACTCACACTGAGTGAACCGGTGCCCTTCACCCGTGAGATCCAACCCATTTGCCTGCCCACCTCGCCCTCGCAGCAATCCCGCTCCTACAGTGGACAGGTGGCCACAGTGGCCGGATGGGGCAGTCTGCGGGAGAACGGACCTCAACCCTCCATTCTGCAGAAGGTGGACATTCCCATCTGGGCGAATGCCGAGTGTGCTAGGAAATACGGACGAGCAGCGCCGGGCGGTATCATTGAGTCCATGATATGCGCTGGTCAGGCGGCCAAGGATTCCTGCAGTGTAAGTGATAACCCTTTAAAGATATTTAAATTTATATTAATATTTTCCTGTTGGTTTCATATAAAGGGTGATTCTGGCGGCCCTATGATTATCAACGATGGCGGACGATACACTCAGGTGGGAATCGTATCCTGGGGCATTGGCTGCGGCAAGGGTCAATATCCTGGTGTGTATACTCGTGTCACTTCGCTGCTGCCTTGGATCTACAAGAATATCAAGTAAACATAGGATTCCGATTAGTCTAAGACGTGATAAAGCAATATAAGAGCGAACGATTTAATAAAATGACAAAACCATTATAAATGTACACCTTTGAAAAATGCCTAAAAGTATGCCTTGTTTATCAAGCTATCTTTTGAGTTTATTTGTTGTGATTCATTGAGGGGACGATAAATAGGCATTGCTCTTTATCTATTGATTATTTTTCTCAACCACCAATGATTTAATTTTCTTAATCAAAAGAAATCCCAGAAGCTCATTATGAAAATGTTATTTCCAATTCAAAATATACAACTGCCAATAACGTAGTAAACATTTACCCAAGTAGGCGAACATACATCATATTACTGAAAAAAGAACTGGCTTTCAAGCAAAAATAAATTGAAACAATGACTTCCCCTAGAGTTTTCGCTCTGGAAGATTTGTTCAAGTTTAACCACATTGTGTTGGATCCTTTGGTGGAAGTTTATTCCCTGCCATTTTTACTGCCAAAGATATTGGAATATCCCGAACTGGTGCTTGCGGTAGATGCGCCTGGCGGTCGTCTGATTGGCTTCATTCTGGGAAGACGAATTGTGGATGCGAAGGAAAGCATTGGCGATGGAAAGGATCAGAGTTGGAGTAATGGGCACATCTCTGCCCTGGCCGTGGCACACGATTACCGAAAACTGGGCCTGGCCACTCGTCTGTTGACTACTCTTAGGGATATGATGGATCGTAAAGGGGACTGGTATGTGGACTTATTTGTGCGGGGGAAGAATGAAAAAGCCATCAGTCTGTACGAGTCCTTGGGATACGTAAAGTATCGCTGGATGCCCCAGTTTTATGCCAACGATCATGGTTATGATATGAGGCTGCCCCTGGCTCGCGATGTGGAAAGGAAATCACTGGAGGGGATTTTGATAAACAAAGTTTATAGCTTCGGCAATATGCTGTACTATCTGCTGATGCTCTATTTATTGGGAATTAAAGACATTTTAATTGGTGATAGATGGCTAGAATAATCAACTATATGAAGTCCAATCATAATTATGGTTAATATCCCACTGAGGATTTAGACTTTAATCGGCAAAACCACGAGGTTTTATTCGGTCTGTTTGGCAGAAAAAAATATAAATTAAACCATTTAAGAACACCCAGAAAAAGTTCATTGCACTCGGCCAAAGAAATTCAACTAAAAGATTGAACAAATCGCTCAAAGTAAAAAATGAAAATTTATGTCAGAAAGCATATGGAAACAAGATTTGTTTATATGACAACATTGAACCAGAATTTTTAAATGCTGTGCGTTTCAAGTTGCGCAAATTGCCAAATTGTGAAAATCATTGCGCGTGTGTTTTAGACACATGCCCGGACCAGACTACACTTTATATTTATATATATATTCTAATTTGTTTGCTTTGAAAAATGTAGCTAATAAAAAAGACAACAACGAAAGCCTTGACCATCTCGAAACGGAAATTTGCAATTGGATTTGTTTGGCAACGGAGACGAACATCAATGCGTTTGGGTGAAAATATATGCATCGTGAACACTAGGGTGGACCACATTCTTCTAAAATATAAGTTATTTTAATTTTATTTTTAAGTGATTAATTTGTATCCAATGTTTATTGAGAGAAATTGCTACATTTAGAATTTTTTTTTTGATTTACATATACCTAATATCCAAAAACTCCATTAGAAGTATTCTGTATATTTAAACAGAAAAATAAGGAAGTTCAACGAATAATAAAAGATACCAAGTCCCATTTTCGTACCGCTAAGGTCCACCCTTTTAAACATTTGTCTGATTTCGTACCTATAGTTAGACTTTGTGCGTCAACGGAAATTGATCTTTAGTTCAAAAATTCACCTCAATTGAATTTCTTTAATTAGCTGTGTAATCTGAAATAAACTAAAATTTGTACTGAAAACACATGGTGGTATCACCGCGGAAGTCCTGCTTATCGAACCTCCATAGAACGGGGTATGTACTTTCTCATCTCGTAGGCATTCTCGGGTTCCGGGTGATCCGGATAGTAGTCCAGCATAGTTCGGCAATGCGCATATCCCAGGGAGCAATACAGTTGATAGGCAGCATGATTGCTAGATCGCATATAGAGATTTACGAAAGAAGCCCCTTTAAGGTCCGATATGAGAAAAAAGTAATCCATTAGTGCGGTGGCCAGTCCAAGGCGTCGATATTCATCAGACACAGTCAATGACGCCACATGACCATGGGGCTCTTTATTATGCTTATCCAGATATCCAAATATATATCCCATTCCTCTGCGGACAGGACCTGGAGCCTCGGCAATCTGTGTGAGTCCTGGGAATTCCAGAAAATGCTTGACAAAGAAAGTCAAGCTATAAACCTCGGTGTGGGCATCGAAAACTAATGAATTAATTTTGAATAAATCATCGAAACGCATCTCCCGAAAGCTAGTCATTAGGGAATATAATTTCACTTGAATTTTCTAATTCAAGCATTTGTCAAAATCAATTACTAAGCATACTTTATTGGATTTCAAATAAATGAGAAAGCATTAATTTTCTCGGTTCATTGTCAGGGTTGTTGGTGGTTATAGACCACACCCGATAAACACAATCAAGTTGGACAGTCGAAAGCCTCTGCGCACAAGAATCAAATATTATTTCTCGATCCTCTTCTAATGAGGTTAATGTTCGAGGCACTCGTTGACTCAGCGCCCTGTGCGCTTTTCAAAGATCTATTTATACAATTTAATGGCGCATTTTGCACAAAAATAAATAAAAGTACAAACCGATATTTGTCTTTATATGTATACTTTTATATGTAAGCATACATTATTTCGGTAAGGAGGCAGAAATCTATTTATAATCGAGAGCATCAGCCAACTTTGTTATGTTTTCCTTCTGTCTGGACAGGTGGTCCAGTCAAAATGATGGAGAACTTGTAAATGTAATATGCTAGCGCGAAATATAAAAACCGTCTAACCGACGGAGGAAAAATGATTTGCTAATTCCCCAGCATCGCTCTTTTTCCATTGTTGAGGGTTCATGTATATTCAACATTTACACATATACACTGGATGTTTGTTTAGCGGGCTTTTTCTATTATTTATTTTTCAAGCATGTGTGATTTATTATGATTTATCATCACATTTGCCTACAAAGCACGGCCAGAACAACGTATGGAATCATTCACGTTCTGTCGGAATTCTATTTGTCTGGGGTAACAACTCTTTTTGATGTTCATATAACTCTTAGAATGGGGTTTTGAGTTTTGGCACTTAATAAATTTATCACTTGCTGCTTGTAGTTTAAAATGGTTTATAGTCTGGATAACAAACGCATTGGAAAATTGCTTTTTAATTACTTCAAAAATACTCCATTTTAATAATAACAATTACTACATTTGCTTAACATTAAATCTTTGTTTCTTTTTACCCAGTCAATTTATATGTCAACAAAATTTAAAATACTTAACATAGGAAAACTACTAATATTTTTAATACAGCAAACGCTTTTATTTGTTTATACACAAGAGATTCAGAAAAACGTTTTGGAGAATTAACAATGTGCTAGCGATCAAAATATTGAAAGCAGTCTAGTGTGAAATATCGAAGTTCCAATAATTTATTTAATGTGCTGAGTGCATTGCGCATTGCCCGACGATGATCGGGCCTGGTTGTAAATACATTAGAATGGTTCTGCGGATCGGAAAAGAGGAAAACAAAAAGTACAAACGTCCGCGGGCTTTCTCAACTTTTAGATTTCTTTTAAATAAACTCAAAATTCATAGAATTTTCCAAGCAGACGCACTTTACACATGCTCACAAGTACGCATACAATCGCAGTGCGATCTATACATTCAAATCGGATATAGACACGGACATGACCGATGGTCGAAAAGAATATGTACCGAACAAGAAGAAGAATATATTTCGAAATGTGAAATGTGCTTTTCGGCTTTTCGGCCGAGAAAATTTCGTGTGCGAATTCAGTGCGACTTGGGCTGCTAACTTGAACGCGTTGCAAACGAGAAAACCATCCGAAATAAAGAAATTTTCAACTAGAAACTAACACATATATATATATATATATCTATACCATCTACCATCTAGCTGGGCTGTCTATATATACGGATATATATAGATATAGATACGAGTATTTTCTCTGGCAAAAGTGAGCAATGCGTCGTGCCGCGTTTTATAAATAGCAAATTACAAAATTTTCAAAAGAACATTGGTGAAAAAGGGTTTTCTAGTTTTCTAGACAGTGCTAAACCCTTAAATATAAGCTAGAGTAATCGCTTTTTAAATATGAGAATCGTCGACATTCTGAACACACAACATATGTTACGTACAAGTGAAAAAACTATTTCCCAATGGATCTTTAGTGATCGTGCCGCAAATTATATAATAACGCGTGATATTCGGTGCAAAATAATTTTAATATAATATTCATAATTTCCTTTTAATTTATCATACATTTTTCAGTGTTTTTCTGTGCATAGGCGTCGTTTGCAAAATCTTTTCGTAGACTTGCGTGCGATTGGCAGAAACCAACGCCTACGACAAAATCTCAAAAACGCGATTTCCTCCGACTGGTGACTGTGTGTAGGCGGTGTGTAAAAGTGCTTTGGAGTTGAACTTGAAATACAAAGAAAGCGGCTAACATGAGTTCTGGGTAAGTAAAAAATGAGAATATATACAGTTTATTTAATAAATCAAAATATTCGGCTTTTTAGTAAAGAATATTATACAATTCAATTCGTATTTAAACCGAAATAATAGATGAAATTAATTTAAATTATTTAATCTTTAATGTTTAGCGAATAACTTTTGGCAATTTACAAGATTCGAACTTGATAAAATACTGAAAAGGGCATCTGCTTTATTTCATTAATATTTATCATTATTTTTCGAGTGTTATTCGAAATCTAATAAAAAAACACATGCGTATCTTATGCCGGGGAAATTGTTAAGATTAACAAAAATAAATAAAACAGATGTATTTACAGATGAGTTCAAAATAATAGGGCTATTTAGATGTCTTTAAAACTGCAAGCAGAAAAAGTTAACTTTCGTAAAGATAATTCAGGAAAATATGTTCTAAAGAAATTTAAAAAATATTTTTATTGGTTCACGGAGTGAATAAATAATACAAAATATTTAAATATTTTTAATATTTGTATTTAAAGTGATCTGTATTTATGCTTAGTTATTTAATTGAAGCAATTATTTCTTGCCTTGTGCTGGTTTAAAAGTTTTCTTATACATTTTCCCCACTACTAGTATTTTGACCACAGCTGTATATGCCTCTACATATAGTCGGAACATCTTTATGATCTCTCCCACAATTAAGGCTCACTCATGAGTTTTTTGAAGGCCAACGATGGCCCACGCCCACACCCACACCCAAATCTCTTTTGGCCCCATGCTGCACGCGCTTTTTGGCAGGCGACACTTTCGGTGTTTTCCCTTCCCTTCCCTGCTATTTTCTTGCCCCCACTTCTCAGCGAATTAATTAATTAAATTTCCTATTTTTCAACAACATTTCACTCGGGCTGTGGTGGTGCACAATTTTATGTTTTAGCCGCAGCCAGCAGCTGTCTCTTTGCTTTGTCTAGAGGCAATTGGCACACGTGTCGGGAATTTAGACGGCTGACGGCATTCACCGGAAGTTTCCCTCGAAGCCACCACGCACATCATAAAACAAATTCTCAAGAACCTTTCAAAACAAAAAGCCAAGAATTTGGCATAAAATGCATTTATTTCATTATTGAGTTTCTTTTTTAAATGTTTTCCTCAGACACTACATTTTTTTTTGCATTTCTTTGTTGACGTTGATGTGTGGCGCATAAATTTTCAACACCCACGGAAATCTGCGATAATATATTGACAAAATTGGGTCAAACTGCAAAAAAAAAACCAAAATACTGTTTGGACCTTTTCACGAATATTAAATTTCTGAGTGTCTTCATTTCATTGTTTAGATTTTGTTCTTCTAGCTAAAAGGCATCACGTATGAAAATTCAAATTTATATAGTTATTAAAAAAATATATATAAAATATGTCTGAATTTTGCAACCTAATGTTAAGTATACGCCACGTATAGCGTATACATATTAAACTTAGAATTAACCACAATTTCATTGTATTTGTGTTCTTTATAATAGAACATTGTTCTTAAAATAATAGCAGAAACTTTTCAACGTTGTCTACAAAACGTCAAGTATACGCCACGTTTAACATATTAATTTACTGTTTATAGTTTGCAAAACAATGTTGTAAACTGTAGTTCAAAAACTATACTTACAATTTTTACGTGTGAACTTGAAATCAATACTGACCATGTATATTTAAAGTGTTAACGTTTACTTAAGCTTAAATAATTTTTCGCATTTTAATGTCTGAGCCTTTGATGCATTGCCAGACATGACTTTGATTTTTGTCAACGACAATTATTTTCACACTTCTTTGTCGGTTTTTTCCCTTTTGTTGATTGCGTAAATCAGGTGTGAGTTTATTTATTTAATACATTTTTGCATTTTTAAAATTCGTAAACAGATTTGTTGACTGAAGTTCAAGTTGGTCGCAGTTGACCGTGAAATTTGAATGTGAAAAAGGGAATTAAAATTAAAGGAAGATTCCCAATTGGATAAGACGGAAGAAATAAAGCCACACCCATATGACAGATCAACAGCATTGGGATTTGATTATTGGACATCAATGTGAATGGTCTAAGATTGTTCCCATGATAGTTGGCTTAATGATTCACTATGTTTTCGCCTTCTTGCTTATACACTTATAATAAAAGCCAGAATTTTGGAAATCGTTATAAGTTTGCCGCCAATTTTTGTTAGATTTTTATATTAGAATACATATTCCCATTCCTGGGACTTAATGAAATAAAGAACATATTGTTTAATTTAATATATAAATAAACTTTAATAACAATAAAAAAATACATATAATATTTATAAAAAATATTACGTTTATAAAATGATTAAGTTTCTGATATTTTGAAATACAAATTATTTCATTAAAAAAATACATTATTTCTTGATTTTACAATTAAGAATATTTCCTAAAAATCATACATTTTTGTGCCTTTCCTTGGAAAACCGCGCGATGCTTGGAACTTTCTCTCTGGTTTTATTTTTGATTCCACAAATCAATACCTTGGAAATTTTTCAAACAGCACCAATTCAAGCTGTAAGAAAAAATATAAAAATCGAGAAAAAGGCGCTGGCGGGATTCGGTTGCCTATCTGGCCATAAACGATGAATGACGACATGTGGTCATGGTAGGAAAAGTACACAGAAATTCACGTTTGCATGCGCATATATCCCGCCATCAGCTGAAGAAGAAATATTACCGCCATCGATTGTGCAACGGGCTTGGGGCAGAGCCTGCGTTTCGCTTTCACCTGGGATCGCCTGGCCAGATTAATATAAATAATTACGAGTGCGGACCAAACCCAATCCCATGGCTCCCTGTCTGATGTGCCCATGTCATGCAATCAACGCAGCGGCAGCCCCAACAAATGACAAATGCAAAACGAGTTGCACACTCAAGTAGTCGTAGAAAGTGATGAATGAGTTCCCTGATTGCGTTTTTTTTTTATTTTAAACGTAAAACATTTTACCCCTGCCCACCAGACATTTTTTCAAGGTCAGTTCCAACAAAAAATATCATAGTTTTACACACGCTCGTGTCTTTGGCAGTGGGTGTTGATGGGAAAAGCTTCTTTATTGGATTATCTTTCTTTGTTTTTTGTTTTACTTTGCCCTGAAAGATCGTTTTGCTGTTTTTGTATTAAATGGGCTATAAATTTTGTTCGTTTTATGTTTGCAAAATTAAGTTTCGTATAAATAGCATCGAATCATTGTATATGTATGTATTTATGTTTTTTGTTTGCGTCTCTTTAATGCCCCTATAGTTTTGGTTAATTTATGAGATTAATCGCCAGACCCACAGGCGGTTTTTTAGGCATTCGGCGTGTGAAAAAAATTATTTTCCTTCTATTTCATTTTTGTTTTTACGACCATATTCTTCTTATATTTTTAACCAAGCAAGTTGAGTAAAAACATAAATTACCCAAACGTTTTCAAAGCCCTAGCATTTAAGGATAAAATATCCTCTTTATTTTCATGATTTTGGCATTACCAAATGTGTAAACAAAATGAATATTGTAGTCTGTGGTTGCATTAAGGTCGTTGCATATAATTTAATAAAATTAAATAATATCGCACTGCAACAAAGTGGGTCAATGTATTAAAAGAAAGGGAAAGAGTGACGGAGAAAAAGAAAATTGTTTTCGAAAAGAGCAGAGGCACGTTTAACACATAATTAAAAATCCCATTCTTCACGGTTAGAAAAAAACATTATTGTATTTCCCACAATAAGAGGCCTGTGGCTAACTAATTAGATGGCCCTGATGATTGATGTCTGCACAACACCGAATATCTCTGTGTGACCCAGTTTCGCGCCAGCCAAAACAGAATTATTGAATGAATGGGGGAAGACAAATTCTCTGACAGTTCTTTGAGGAAAGAATATTATTGACAGCCACTCGAATTTCAAGTGTGCGTCAATTGGCGGCGCGGCACTTAAGTGTTTATCGAACCAAATGAGTCATTTAGTCGGGCACCTTTTGCTGGGTGACCACTTCGAAGAGGTCGGGTTCGCCGTGGAGAATGATCTTGACGAAGATCCTTCGCTGCAGTCCTGAAAGACACAGCTCCCGTATATCGTTGGCCGTGTACAAGAGGTAGTCTATGTTGCAGTAGAGCAGGTCATCGCCTTCCTTCGCAGGAGTGTCTTGGGAATTGCGCAGGTAGCGAAATCCACGCGTCTCGTGGTTATGAAATACATCCAGCAGCGATACGTGGGCATTCACCCGCCTGGAGGACACCGGACTCACCAGGTAGAAGATGTAGGCCTGGTCCATGTTCAGCACAGGCGGACTCACGTACAGCATGAGGATGATGGGCAGATGGTGGAGAATCTGCAGATCTGGAGTAACCGCTCGGCTGAGACCCGCCTTCGGGGAATCCCCCGTAGGCGATCACGCCCACCGAGTGGTTCCATCCCGGCGTCAGTTTATCCAGCTCCACCTCGTACTCCAACGGCAACTCGTCTCCGATCTCGGTCATCGAATCCTGCGGACTGTGCCGCATCAACAGATGGGCCAGCATCTCGAGCGGCGTCATCTGCGACTCGCACTTGGCCACTGGACACATCAGGGGAATCCCGTAGAGCGTCTCCAGATCCAAATGGGCGAACCGGTTGTTCTTGATGGGACATTATGGAGTGCTTAGACTGAACCGCTTTTCCTCGGTCTATTTCTAACTTACCATAATTTCGGGCTGGCCTTAATTTTATATCTCTGAATATAGCTGCGGAAATCAGTTAGATCTCGTCAGCAAATAGTTGTGAAAAGTTTTCACTGACAACTAAGGAAGTTTCTGAAAGGAATGTCGGTGAGAGGAAAGCAAATGCTTGTGTGATTTACCTCAAGTATTGTCTTGTTTCAATTCATTTTATGAAAATATTTTAAATTGTCAATAAATGAAAAATATCTGCCAACAAAACAGTCATATAAAATAAATAAATACATTTCCCTATCAGAAAATTGAAACAATTTATTTGAAAATAAATAGCTTAAGGCTATTAGAGGCATTAATGAAATATTTATTTTTAATTACCAGTAATGGGATCAAACGAAAGTCTATTCGATGACCAGAACCATCCATAATAACCGATAAGCTTCCCAATGTTGTCTCTTAACTTTCCCCTTCTTTATGCCAGTTTTTTTGATTTCGAACAAATTGTAGCTGTCAGGCAGCAAAAGAAAATGATTTCAGCCCAGTCATTCTGCGTTTTAAATTCCTTAACGCTTTCTTGCCAATTATTATTTAACTGGGCACAAAGCAGTCGCAAAAACAGCAGAAAAGATAACATCTTATTTGTCTGTCAAGGCTAGTGGGCCACATTTCCGCAGATGCTTGTTCGCCTGAGTTAATTAGAGCAAGCCGAGTGGGGATTCGATAAAGAAATCCCCCGAAGTTAGATAGTGCCGTGGGAGATACCCGTTCAACGTTTTTGATTTTTGGTTTAATTATGAAAAGCGACAAAAGTAATAAGCTGGCGACATGACAGCAGAGTGAAAACAATTAGCAGCACGATAAGAGATGCAGATAGAGTCGAAAGATACAGCCAGATACAGATAAACGAAAGCGTCTAAAGTCTTTTGGCGTTTAGCTGGAAATTTGTCGCCATCATCGAACCGCATTGACAGACGTATAAATTGCTCCCCAGTCCGCGTGCCAGCCGACCGTTTGTCAAGAGCTCGGTTTTCCTTTTGCGGCACTGGCACCGCTCAACGGCTGGAAATGTATCTGCAACAAGTTGCCGAACAAGCCGACTCAGGTCCGCCGTCCAACCTCCAGCGAACCCGACTTTAATGCGCCTCGAGAGTCTGCTGCGTTCAGTCGCCCCAGTGCGCTCCTCAGATTCAGATACAAACGAACCTACGAGATACTTTTGCGCGACGCGTGTGTCCAAGTTAGTGAGTGACCAAGGTGTGATTAAAATTTAAGAAAAGTTCGAAAGCAAAAGCATTAGATATCTCCTCCCCCGCGAAGGCCAAGCAAATATTTGTTTAATTCGGAGCAAGTCTTTAGCTCATGCCTAAAAATAATTAACGTGCGTGAGCGTATCTCTCTGAGATGGGAAACAGCTGGTCCACATAATGATTCTGTGTTTGATTCCCCCAAATTCGATGTGAGTCATCGGCAACATGAGCATTTGCCGGCTGCCCTGTGTCAAAAAAGGTTAAATTGACTTCCCGCAATCGATCGATCGTTGAGTCATTCGTTGAGTCCACCTAGGTTTCAATCTGGCACCTTTGTTCCCATGTCCCACGATCCGACAAATGTAAATCGATTGTACAACCCATTCTGGCTGGTTATACTGACACTCTTTGTTTCGGCTCCGCTTGTTCAGTGCACATTCACTGATAAGGGCATTTGCAACTTCGCAAATGTGGTGTAAATATTTTTCTTTCTATTGCTCAACTCGTTTGAAAACAGATCTAAGAAACAAAGATAGCTGAAAAATTCTTACAAATGGTTCTATTTGTAAGAATTTCCCTTGTAAGCAGAATAAGTGCTTTTTACTATTGGAAAACATTAATTTTTTTCATATTGTTGTACCCCATATATAGTACCTCTTACCTTAAATAACAAAATTAAAAGCAATGCCATTTTCGGTAGACCACTTTTGCTTCTCAGAAATGAAAAATATAAGAAGCGTAATGGAGGAAACATCTTTTAGATTCCAAAACATTTCTTAAAGCCCTTTTTTATTTGCATATTGAGCTCAAAAGGTTAAGCCTTATGCCATTTATTAAAAACCCCATTAGTTAGCCCGTTTAAAAAGTGATTTGCTTGGCCATTCGCAGATAGAAAAGTCTTAAAAAGTCTTAAAAGTGACTCGACTCCCAATCGCGCTATGCCAGTGTAGTTTAAAAACAAAATTGAGATAAAATAGTGAGCAGAAATATAAGAAATAAAATATAAATAAACAAGAAACCGCAAACAATGGCCACCTCAACGCTGCAATCTCCGTCACCGTCGCCATCATCCGGTCCCGTCTCGGCCAAGAATCCGCAGCTGAAGCGCGTCGTCTACTCCAAGTATCGGGAGCTCCTCGGGTCGTACAATGATAAGGCCAATGCCATCATCGACACGCTGCCCGCTTATATGGTTCGTCAGGATCGCGGGTTCCAGCTGTCAGAGCTGTCCGCGAATGGGGATGCCAAGATGGCCCTCGAATCGTCGTAAGTACAAGCCAACCAGCCAAACCCAAACCCAAACAAAAACAACACACTTAACGCGCAATAGCCAAGGCAAGAAAAAGATAGCTAGAATGCCAGGGCAAAAGCCATTTCCAAGTAAATATTTATCGCTAGATTAGCTCAACTGCGGAATGTGGGCGGCTGGACGGAGCACCCTGTATCGCTCTGTCTTCGGATGCAGCTATTTATAGCCAAGACGGGCGGACAATGACTATCATTATGTCATGTTGCATGTGGCAGCTTTCAAGTTCTTACTTCTGCTGCACTGCTGATGTTGCTGGCCTGGCTGCCCTTGATCTTGAAATATGCGCGGCCAGCTGCAACTGCAGATGCTCCTAGGCAACAAGTTTGCTTTTACTAGAGAGTAATCGGGGTTATGATGGAACTTGGCCTAAAGAAAAACCTTAAAACATTTTTATTTGATTTTTATAATATTGGACCATTTTAATTTATAAAATCATAAAATAATACAACAATTAAAATGGTCCAATATTATAAAAATCTGTTATATATAATAATACCATATATATATGTATCCACATTTAAATGAATTAGAGCTTATAATAACCGCCACAAAGATATACATGGTTTTGGAATCTAATTAAATTTATTTATAATTTTATTTATTGTTTTAAAGTATTGTGAAAATAAAATGCTTACACTTGCACTTTTAAATAAATTAAAGCTTTACTACCCGCAATTCGTTTATGGAAAAATATCTACCTTTGAAATCCAATCAATATGTTGTAAATTATTTTATTATTTTGTTTATAACAACATTTGTATGGTTTTGATATATATTTTCCATTTTTTTCTATGGGCTAATATATCTTGAATTATTGTATTAAAAATGGGAATATAAAAAGTCGAAATGGAAAATTGAAGAGATACCAACGTGTTCTCTCATATCGTGCGGATTCGCCCGGTTCCAAGTTGGTTGCCAGTTGCCTGCAGATACATTTTTGCACGCTCATTTGCATGCGAAAAAGCGAAAATCAAAAACAAAAACAAATAGGAAAAAGTGAAAATGCGAATTGCACAAATGTTTTTCTATCATTTCATTTTTAAATTGAGTTTGTTTTTGTTACCATGGCATGTTTTAGCTCACGCACGAACAGCTGCGCCTTAAAGATTTCTGACGTTTTGCATTTATTTTTTTTTTTGGTCAACTATAAGTAAAATTTTCTTAGATATACATATTTCTAGAAATATATGTTTATTTAAGACGCAAAGTGCAAGTGAAAAATGTGACAATGAATCGCATTTGCCAATGATTCACAAGGAATATATAGGTAAAGTGCGCCAGTTTATTAGTCATTATTAGTCGCATTATTATTATTACATGCAAACTATGTTAGCAAATTGGCTATGCACTTGGTCCACTCTTCCTGGTTCCACGCAGTTTGTGGTCTGACATTTTAATTGCCAAATCTGTCAGAGGAGCAAACAGTTGGCGGTCTTGTCTTGTGGTCAATTCCTGGCCAGCCGAAGCCCCAAGTACCTTCAAGTACTGACGCCATGTCCCAGCCATTGACGTCATTAGGCGACATCTGTGCTTTTAGCTCGTGTATCTCTTAGTTTTTAATGTTTTTTTCGATTCCGGAAATTTTGGCAACGAATTTTTTAGTTTAATGTGCGTGACGATCATTGGAATGGAGAACAATGAATGGGTATATTTGCACTACTGCTCGTTCCCTAGATTTTTTCAGGAAATGTTTATTGCACAAAACTGACATTTTTCCAGGCTTGTCACGGTGTGTTTAATAACTTTCATAACCGAGCCGAATAAGGCGGGCTAACATTAAATACAGCAAAACAGTTAACCAAACGATTGTGTAAATTGAATTTCCTACCCGACCATAAAACACTCCGATCGAGTCAATAAACGAGGGATACAATGCACATACACCCAACTGAACCGATCTGAACTGAACTGAACGACCTCACAATTTTGGGCACGGCCCGACAATTATGGAAGCTGTTGATGCTGTTAATTCGCACATAATCAATGGCAAGTTCAACACACAACCAGTCCGGGTAATATCTATCCATAGTTTTCCCTGTCATCTATAAGGAGCTGGACGGCATTTCTTAGATCGCCCCGAATATGGGGGCAATTAAAGATTTGCTCTGGCTGGCTTTGCTTTGTGATTTAAATGCGATTCTGTCATTTAACCGCAGTCTCGGCGACAGAGTTACGTCATTTGCATTTGACTTTGATGCACGCGCTCCAATTTGCATGTAAGCCAGTTGTGGGTGAGTTTCGCAACCGTTTTCCCAAATCACTTGGCCTTCGCATTTGCGGTTTGGGTCTCTGGCCCAATATTGAATGGATTGTACCGCAGACCGCAGCTTTTTGGCCGTGTCAACTTTATGAAACGACTGGCAGACATCACCTGTTCCTGTTCGCCTGACCCACTTGGATGCGAATCATTCACGCACACCAAGCTAATCAGCAACAGGCCTGACGACTTTTTTTCAGAACCCGATCCCGAACTCCATCACTTTCTTTCGACATAACAGGCTTTCAGGCTCAGCAAACGTTAACGAGAACGTCATCTTCGATTTTCGCTTTTAATTAGCGAATTGTTAACGTTTAACGCATTTAAAATAAGCAAATTATGCGGAGAAAAGTCGACACTAACTGGGAAGTGGGATTTACTTGTATGTACATGAAAACATATTCAACGGTACTGAGAAAGTGCGAATAGGAAAGTTTTCCCAGCTTAAATCTACATCAAATAAATAAAAAGCATAAAAACGTGACAGGCATTATATTTTCAACATACTTTATATTTATTTCCAAACATTTCCTGAATTGTTCCAGTAATTTTTTAGAGATTTTAACGTTACTGGTCGGCATCGCTTAATTTTTTTTAGTTTTTTAGTTAATTTTGTGTTCAATAATATTAATGAAGTAAAATCCATCAACTTATTTGAGAAAATCAAACAATGATTTATTCATATTAAATTGCTTATACCGCTAAAAAATATTGGTTTTCAATGCGTTTGGCAACAGAAAATTGGTAAATGATAATTCGCACCCAAAATGAGTTACTTAATTCTCTATTGACTTTATTTTAATCAAATTGCTTCAGGCAATTTTTTCAATGGACCTTTTTTTGGTATAATACCATAACTTCTCACTTTCAACCTTTCAAATTTGGCACTTCATCGGTCGTCTCACCTTTTATGGACGGTCGTCCGTAACAACTTCAACTCACTTTCCCCCTTGATCGTTAAAAAATCAAAACATTGGCTCATTGAACTATCGATGAGCGACTCATTAGTCAAGCAGCAGCAAAGAAAGGAAAACAACACAAATGAGTGTTTTTGCCGGTGACCAAGAGCGAAACAATAAATTAGAAAAAGATTTAACAAAAGTATTGATAAATAGCCGAAACAAAGTGGAGATGGAAGCCAGATTAGCATGGCCCGGAAGTATAGCGAAAATGAAACTGCAAACTAAAAAAAACGTTACACAAAATCTATAAAGTTTGATTTTGGAGATTGGTGCAATGATAAATTATCATAATTCAACAACCATATCCTATGAATAATCTAAGTTGGCTTCATTTATGGTTGTATCATTTATCACTTTATGAAGAAAATACTACTCCACTTGATAAATAACTTCTTTTTTATTATGTTGGTGGTTTAAAAACGCAGGAACTTGTGGATAAAAAATTTACAAACAAATTAATGTCAATCTAGCATACATTTTAATAATTTACTATTGTAATACTTTAGAGGTAACAGAAGTATTTTTTCAGTCGTGTTCTGACTGTGCCTTTTATGTTCTCCCCTTTCTTATGCCGTTGTGTATATGTTCATCTTTTTAGGTATGGACAGCGCGGAGGAGGCGGATCCGGAAACGGGGGCTACGAGGCACCCGCCTGCGTGCAGAACGCGATGATGACAAAAGACAAGAAGCCATTCACCTACACGCCCGGCGGCATCGATCTCTCCCAGATCCGTTCGGAGCGGATGGCCAAGCGGCTGGCGCGCAACGCCCAGTCGGAGGGAGCCACCGGAGCCGCCCAGCAGAACAGACCCGCCCAGCCACAGTCGCCGGGCGGAGGTGGTGCGGCCAGTTCGATGGGAGCCGCTGCCATGGGCATGCCGTTCCAGGTGCTGCCACCGCCGCCTCCGCCGCCGCAGCAGCAGTCGGGTAAGAATGGCACTCAAGGTGCTAGCGCTGCACCCCCACCACCACCCCCACAACAACCTCCCAGCACACTAGCGCCACCTGCGGGCCGACTCAGTGCACCCGGTTCGCCGGCCACGGCCCGCAAATCACCGACTCCACAGCGTTTTGAGCCACCGCCACTGGGCTTCCGGCCGGAAATCAAGATTCCGGCCAATCCCATCGCTGCGCTGCGCAAGGTGGCGCCGCCGGTTGAGAAGAATACGTTCTGGAAGGACGAGTACCGCAAGGATCGCTCCAAGAGTCCGCTGCCCGAGGTGGAAGCTGGTCAGAATGGAGGATACAGCAACAGCAACAGCAACAGCAATACCCTCCCAGCAGATGCCGTTGATGGTGAGCAGAGCCCCGAGGATTTGGCTCGCTTTACTTTTGGGTGTTTTTGGTTCAGCTACTGATCCCGATATACGATACATCATACATCGCCAGCTCTTACTAAGCGGTTGAGGTTGCTTCTCTTAAAACCCCCATTCGACTAACCAGACATCCAAAGGCCCTACAAATTGGCTGAGAATCCTCCCACTAACTGCACTAAAATATTTAAAATAAACTAGAGTAGAAAAAAGGAATTTAAATTTATTTATCCCTTCTTAATATAGGTCCAAGACCGTCAGCAGCCAGCGTGGAAAGCAGTTATAGCCCTTATACACCCACTCAACAAGTGCCGCCAGCGGCCAAGACGCCTCCGGTGCAACAGCAGCAGCCCACACCACCGGCAACACCGCCGCAACAGCAGCAACAGTCGGAGCAGCAACCTGCAGCACGACAGGAGTTCCGCAGTGTGGCCATGCCCACATCGCCGGCTGTCAATGTCTACACTCGTCAGACGGACAGTCCTAGATCGCCTTTCGAGCAGCAGCAGCAGCAACAGCGATCCACTGAAAGCCCCTTCCGCTTTGCGCAGCAGCAACAGCAGCAGACCCCACAGCAACGTCCACCAACTGCGATATCGCCATTGGCTCAGGTGCAGCAGCAGCAATTGCAGCAGCAACAACTGCAGCAGCAGCAGCTACAGCAACAACAACTGCAGCAGCAACAGCTGCAGCAACAGTTGCAGCAACAACAACTGCAACAGCAACAGCTACAGCAACAACAACTGCAGCAACAACAGCTACAGCAGCAACAACTGCAGCAGCAGCAATTGCAACAGCAACAACAGGCAGCTCAGTCAGTGCCCTGGCGTACACAGCGCGTTCAGCCTGCAGCACAACAGGAATTGCATCCGCAGCCCATTTACAACAATGTTCAGCAACAGCAGCAGCAACAAAGATCTCGCGATGTCTTCAGTCCAGCAAGGACTGAAACACCAGCAGCAAACACGTTCAATTCACAGCAGCAACAGCAGAACTTTGGCACTCAACAAAACCAATTTGCAGGAGCGTCAAAGCCGGTAAGTTACTTAGAAAGTAATAGTTTAAGTAAAGTCTATCAAAATACTATATATTTTCTCCTGATAGACAAATATTATTTGATATCATAATAACAACATTTATCACAAGACATTTACCAAAAATTGGTTTATTATTACTAAGTCTTACTGATTTAATGAAATTATTTTGTATAGTCACGGGTTTTTTTTGGTTTGCCTTAAATGTCTTAAACATTTTGTTCAAGATCAGCAGTTTTATTACGCATATCTACGTATGTGCATAATGCAAATTGGCCCACTAATTTTTGTGTTATTTCCATATCGAATTGACCTTTAACTTTATTACTCATACGCCTCGTTGAGCAAGCCCCTCCATAGCTTATGAGTAATATTTAAGTAAACTGGTCACTGCTAATTGTTCAAAAAAATATTTATGTTAGGCAATATTAAATATTCACGTTAATAGAATGCAAATAAATGGAATGCCTCAAATCAAGTCAAATGGCTGACAAGCTGTTTTCGCGGAAACACATAAAGATATTTTTAAACCAAAGTCTTTGGGTGAGAATGTTCGATTCACACATAAGAGTAAACATTGAATGCATTCACCAAGTGCAGCGTCTAAAATTAGGCACATGCAAAGGCCAAACACGAATTTTGAACTTGAGGCGATTGGCAAGCGAAAAATTTTATTAGGAGAATTTACAAATTTAAATAAACTTGTTAGGAAAACAATGATGATTAACAAATGGAATCTAAATATTTGAACTTGTGGCTATATTTCTGTTCACAGACCAACGTTGGCTCGCTCTACATAGCTCCTTTGGCCCAGCCCACAGAGCCACAGGCTCAACGAATCCTTCTGCAGCAGCAGCAGCAGGCATCTGCCCGGGATTCCCCGATGCGCCAGCTGCCACAGCAGCAGGGATCGCCACAGCAGCCACAGGCCAACCAACCGATGCAGTGGCTCAGATCGCAGCCGGCCAGCAAGGAGCAGGCTCCTTGGGCTCGTCCCGAGGAGAACGGCAATGTCCTGCCCTCCACTCTGCGACAGACCACTCCGGCCCCGCAGCCCCAAGTCGTACCTCAACCGCAGCCACAGCAGCAGCAGCAGACATCCTTCTACCAACCCCAGTTGGCCCAAGGAAATGGCTTTGGACCAACTCCGATCTCGACTGTTCAGAATTTCGGATCGAATCCTCAGCCAGGAGGACTGCGTTTGCAGATCAACTTAAACACCAATGGCAGCAGCAACAATGCAAATCAAAGTGCTCCGAGGGTAAGCTTTTTTGAAATATTTACGTAATTTTTAATACCAATCTGATAAGAAGACACTTACTTAAAAGACATATTTTGCATTTAACCACGACTTTATAATCGATGTGGCGTTTTTCTTTTATTTTTTTGATAAAGTGCAATTTTGTATACTCAAAGTATAAATAATATTTAAAATTCTTTGGGTTTTCTATTTATTTTAAGGAGCGTATAATACCCATTACCTTAGAGCAGACGCCGACGTATGCCGCAGCGCAGCCCAACTTTGGTGGTAAGTCCTTAAGGCAGCCTTTTGCTTTTTGTGTTTTGTACAATATGTGTGGCGCTTTCCTAAAAAAAACTCCTTAATGTTTGTGACTAAAACCATACGTAGTTCCTACCCAAAACCCCAAAAATCCCGTGCACTCTCCGCTCTAAAGGAATGACTCTCCACCCGTGTATGATTTCCCCAAAATCCCTGCTCTCGTCCAAAAGTGTAACTCTCCAACTTCTACATCACCATGTGTCTATGTATACTCTTTCTTTCCCACGAAAGCGCCTGCAGGTCACATAATACGCTCAGCTAATCAATTTGTCGATCAAGGTTACCAGAATTACCCAGCTCAAGGTCAGCGAGTCCTGTCGCCCAGCCAGCAGCCCACCAGTGCCAACAACACCAACGGTAATGCCACCAGGATAATCCCAATTGCAATTGAGGGAGGACGCGGTGGTCCAGTTTCCCAATCGCCGGTGCTGCTGCAAAAGTAAGTAGACTCTTGTTTCCAGTGGATTTATATCCCACCGTTAGCAATCTTTGTGCTTTACCAACACCAAACAATTGGCCCGCACTAATGAGTATTAATTTTGTGCTTTTCTACCAACTAAACCGTCTATTTAGTGCCAATTACAATTTGTATGTGCACCAGTGTCCGCTCGAGGCGGAGATACTCTTCCGAAAGAATCGTCTCAGGTAGTACTAGAGCACTGTGCCCACCAAAGCATCTCGAATAACATCAATAGTTCATGCCATGCATTATTAAGTGTTGTTAAAAATGTTTAGCAGAAAATCAAGGGGATTAATTATATGTTACTTAGTTATCCAGCCTAAAAATATATCTAAAAAATGTTTCTTACGCTTAAGAAAGGAAATACAAATTTTTGAGTAATTTTAAATCAAACAAACCTAACAAAAAATCTTTAGTAACTTTACACGTCATACTTCAGACGTTGAGCTTGTTTAGTTGTTTAGAATCAAGAAATTTGTACCGACATTTGTGAGTCTAATTATTTAGAAGGGCCTAAATGTAAAATTTAACGAAATAGAAATGTCAAATATATATTTTTCTTGTGTTCAATGTTTAATATATGGAGTCTGTGTATCGTAGTTATCTAACCTCTCATACATGGCATTTGCATTCTGGCTTCAAGTACACTTTCGTACATTTTTGAAAATTTAAAAAAAAATTGATTTCGTTTACTTCAAATCACAAGTTCAATCCAAACCGAAACTAACCATTAATCCAAACGTTTCGTTCGCACAAAACAAAATCGTTGTAATTTGGTTAATTTCAATACATTTTCGACGGCATGCTAACCAACAACCTAACCTAACACACGCCTATATCTACTTGCAGCGATCCACGCTCACCGCCCATCCAATCGAAATCGTTTAGAATATTGCAAAAGATAACCGACACCGTGGACGATGGCAGCGGGAATGGGGATTTGCGGCAGGACTCGCGGCAGGACATGCAGCAGACGCCCCAGGAGGCGGAGTTGCAGCGGCCGCAGTTCGCCCGCCAGATGAGTGCCCAGCAGGCCAGGAATAGTCCGACCATCGAACAGATGCGGCGCCTACAGATCGCCCAGGATCAGCAGAATAATCATCAGCAGTCGGGTACGCCACTAGCTTGGTCCCCGCAAGGTGAGATCCGATAGGTTGTCCTCATTTCCCCTGGTCCATCCTCAGAAACCTCATTCGTATATCACCGTATTCATCGGTGGGTAAGAGTAAGAGTCTGGTCGTGGTGAAAGTGCTTAATCCTCGGGAAGTGTCTTGGGTGAACTTGGGAACTCTACTAATAAGTAAAGCCGCTTTTAGCCACAAGAACAACTTCTGGTTGATAGAAACTAACTAGCTTCCTGTGTCTGTCCTGACTAGATTTACAAGTATTGGTGTCACCTAATTCATACCAAAATTGCAGCACTACTAAGTTAAAAATTTATTGTTTAATTATTAAATAACCACTGTATCAATTTGACTTTGCTTTATAAAATGAATGTTTATTTCAGGTAATGGCGTCTCCGCTCAGAACCGATTCACACAACAACGATATGGTAAGAAATGAATGCAGATTGTTTTGAACTTAGCTTCAACATAAAGAAGAATAGAGTTGTATTAAAATCGAAACTGATATATTATATAACAATGATAATCCACCATTTATTAAATTTTTTTTTCTTTTCTGTAGATACACCCCAACAACAACAACAGCAATATGTGCCGCCAAGTGAACAGCAAGCTCCGGAACCCAAAAAATACACCGGCAGCGCTATACCCAGTCGATCATTCAAAATTCTACAGGCAATGACAACACCTGAAAATGCCGGTAAGTACAGCTGTGACAAGAACTCAGTGTCCCGAAAACACTTGGAAGGAGAAATCGTTTTTCTTAAATTTAGTTACCAGTTTTGAATCCAATACATACATCATACAAAAATCATTGCTGTATATATAATCACAACTCATTACTAACCTTAACGATCACACGCTCATCCAGACACAAGCACATGGAGCATTGCATCAAGGATCGTAATTTTAAAACCTTTTTTGAGAGATTTCACCTTTTTTTGGATGAATGGTGTCCAGACAATATTTTGACTTAATCCTAATGGCATTTGATATTAACTTTAAAGCATCCCAAACCATTTTGCAAGCAAAGCCACCATTTTGCATTCCTCATGCACCATTTACTTGTACATAGCTTGCTTAACCATTAAACCAATCAGATCAGATTTGATCTGATCTGATCAATTTGACAAAAAGGATCACATACAAAACACAACATAATGTTCGCACTCTCACCGTGTCTATTTCTCTTTTTCTTCTTTTATATTTGATAACCGTGTACCACAAAACCGACCTCAGACCATAAAATTCACTCCGAGCTGGACTCGGATTTGGAAAATGTTGAACTGAACGAATCCCCAAATAATAATAATAATAATAATAACAATGGAAATACTGAAAATAATAATAATCATAATAAGATTAACAGTAAAACCAATAAACGTCATAGCTACACATCAGCCACACCCACACCCACACCACCACCCTGCACAGAACCCACCATCCACTCATCAAACTCATCCCTCAATTCGGATAGCTCTTGTCCCCCACAAGCACCTCGGTCGCAGTCGGTGCCACCGCATTATCCCTATGCCTTTGGCTATCCATATCCCTGGTACATGCCACCTCCACCGCAACCGGTGAACGGCGAGGCTGCTCCTTGGCCATATCCCTATGCCTATCCCCCGCCACCACCACCACAACAATCGGTGGTGGATGGCAAACAGGCAGAGGTATTTCCCCCGTATCCCTATTACTACCCGTATTATCCGCCACCTCTGCCACCCTATGGACAACAGCCGGGGGATCCGCAATTTCCCGCTGGCTATCCCCAGTTCCATGCCATGCCACCCTACGTTCACCCATATCCCTATCCAGTGGCACCCAGTTATAGCCAGAGTTCCACCGAAGAGAGCAGAGCCAGCAGTGTTCTGCCGGATATAATCATCACCCCCAGTACCGATGATATTCCCTCGCAGGTGATCATGCAGCATCACATCCGAGTGGAGCCCCGAGAGCCTCCGAAGCGGGCGCACTCCGTGGAGATCGAAGAGCTCGTCAGCAAACCGAAGGCCCGAAATATCTGCACCAACAAGCACGAGGTCATGGATGTACTGAGCCAACGTTTGGCCAATATCAACAAAATTGCCAGCGGAAATACCCAAGCCAATCTCTCCAAGCAATTGCAGAAAAACTATGCAGGCGAGCAGTCCAAGGAGCTGGGCGAGAGATCCCCCAGCGAGAATGCCTCCAACTCCGATAGCGAATCGGAGGAGGAGAGCAGCGATGAGGACGAAGAGGATACCCCCAAGCTTGGAGCTCGTCCAGCTCCCTTGCAGTCCATCAAATCGGTGACAAATGTGCAGGTCTACAAGGGTAAGACCCTGGAACAGCAACTGGATTCCGAGAGCAGTGATGACGAAGATGATGTGACCACGGCGGATGAAATGTACGATGAAGAGGAACAGATTGACGAAGATCAAGAGGGCCTAGTCGAGGAAATGGACGATGATTACATTGTAGAGGAAGACCTCAGTGTTATCTACGAGGAGGAGAGCGAACTGGAACGCAGCAGCGAATACGCCAAGACAGTCATTCGAAAAGATGACTCCAGATCCACCATAGTCGATGATATTGATAAGCAAATCGAAGAAAATGATGATGATGACGACGAGGAGTCGAATTCGGTAACAGTGCGTTTGCCACTCCGTTTCTCGTTTAGCCGCAGCTCCAATGATGAAAACATTGCCACCGTGGAAGTGGGCAATACAACTCAGATCGAGGAAAAACAACCGAGCATCGTCAGCTCGTTCAGTGTGGCCAAAGTGGAGAGCGAGGATGAGGACGATGACTGTGAGGTCAGTGTGACCATCAGTTTGTCGAACTCTTCGCGATCCAATTCGGTGGAGAAGTCAGTCCAACCTTATAAGACCTCCAAAGCCTATCCCGTGGAGGAAATCTGCACACCCATCAAAGTCAGTGAAGAAGATGTCTCTGCTTCATTTTCACTAGGCATGCGTAATAAATTCATGGGCGATACGATGGCCAATGATGTGACCAATAATATTTCACGAGATCAATCAAAAGCCAAGACCGAAGAGGTTAAGGAAGTTGCAAGCTCACCAAAAGAAGAATTTGATTTCTTTGCCACTTTAATGGCCACCAAAATGCAGGCTCAGAAGATGATGGAGCAGTCCAAGAACTTTTGGAAAACTCCCGAGGCCAAGCCAGTGGAATCGGCAGCTGAAACGCCAAATCTTCGACCCAAGGAGAATATATCTGCGGCCAAGCCACCAAGACCAATTTCTGGTGATATGTCCAAAACTCAAGCTTCGCTGGAGGCAGCTAAAAATAGCTTCTGGTCTACCTTTGCTACGACTTCCAAAGAAAAAGAACCCGAAGCGGAGCAAGAGGAAAAAACTGAGGAAGTTGACTTTTGGGCCAGCTTAGAAAAAAATGAATCCATCGATAAGGAGGAAAAGCAGTGGACCAAGAAAAAGAAAACCGTTACTTATACTCCCCTACAAAAAGAGTCAGTTACAAAAGTGGAGCACTGGACAACAACGCTCAAGGCTCAGGTGGAATCATTGCCCCTGCCGCAAAAAGCCAAAGTGACTTTTGTAGTTGAGGAAAAACCAAAGAAAATTGAGCAACCCCAAGAGGTGGATCAAGTTGTAGAAGAGGACTTCTGGGCCTCAGTCAATTCAACCAAAGTGGAAAACACTGTAAGCTCATGTTGGGAACACACAACTTACAACTCAGAGCCGCAGAACGAACCGGAAAGCGACATCTGGCCTTCTCAGGAAGTGACAGAGGAACCAATCCAACAAGATCAAGAGGATGATGACTTCTGGGCAGAAATTGAATCAACTACCAGCTACCAAGATGAAGAGAAACCCAACGATTTTACCTATGACCCCACAAAATATCCAGAAGAACCTCGAGAAGTGGATACCGATGAAGAGATTGATTTCTGGGCCGAGATCGAAGCGAAGCGGAAGCCAGGTGAAGACGATGATGACGATGTCACGTTCCATAGGTCAGCAACCTTCTGGGCTCGCAAAGAACGCCAGAACTCGGTGGAGGAGACCCCATACAAGCCCGTCGAGATCAAGGCTTTCAGAGCCAAGTTACCAGACGAAGCAGCTGTGGAGATCGATGTATGGGCCACTTTAGAAGCAGCCAGGGGTCACGAACCCGAAATCGTGGATCCCGTTTTGGAAGAGGAAAAAGTTCTGGCCGAGCAATTCGAAGAACTGGAACACGAGAGTTCAGAACAAGAGGACCAGATTACTGAGAAACTCCAAGAAGTGATCCCAGAGAGCAATCTAAGCCACATGGACACCATGTCCATGGCATCGATGCACGAACCAGCCACTGTCTATACCTGGGCTCCACCGCCACAGGAGGCTGATGAAAACAACGACGAACCCGATTTCTGGGCAGACATGGAACAGGAACGATCCAAGAACGAACAAATCGAGGAGGCCGAACAGAAACGGCAGAACTACCGCCAGGCCATGGCCTTCTTCAACACCTCAATCGATGGTCAGCAGTCGCCGCCACAACAAACTGCCAGTCCCAATCGCAGCAGTGTTATTCTGGAAGTCGAGGAGCCACAAGACATGGATCTGGGACCGCCTGGTGAATACCAGATAGTGGGCGAAGACGGTCTTATCGTGGAAGAGCATAAGCCAGTTATATCCGAAACCGAAGAAGAGGAGCGAGGAGCTGCTACTCCCACTAACATGGAGCCACAACTACCAGAGGTCTATGTGGAACCCGAACCAGAAGTTAAGCGCTTGTCCAATGGACTACCTGATCTAGAGGTGGAGAAGTTCAGTGAAACGCCCAAAATATCGGTGCGTGATAGGATCAGTGCTTTTGAGGTAGTTCCCACGCCGGGAAGCGATGGTTCCAAGGGATTGACCAAGCAATCCTTATCAGTGGACAGTGCCCACGGCAAGGGAACCCTTTCGCGCAACAGCAGCACCCAGCGATCGGAGTCGGAGATCGAGGAGGATGACTCTGGGGTGACGGACATGAACCGTCAGCTGTCCGAGACGGATACCGAGTCGGAAAGTTTTCCGGAGCTGCGCAAGATGACCAGCTACCAACGGGCTGCCACACATTCCAGGCTCTTCAAGCTGCTGCAGGACGAGAACGATGTTCCAGAGGCGGGAGTTAATCCAGCTGATGAGTTTCAGTTAAAACCCAGCCGCAGGAAGATTGTCCACAATGTGTCCATCACCAGGCGTCAGAATCCTGGATCCCTTAATGATGCGGAGACCATGACACAGCGCAGGGAGCGCCTCTCGTTGCCGCTTCGAAAGAACACCAGTATCGATGCGGACAATCCCTCGACGCCAAACAGTCCAGCTTCGCCAATTATGGGTCCTTCGGCGAAGAACCAGCGCGTTGTGAGTGATAAGCTGGTCAATGAACTGGTCCAGAGTCTGCTGCTCAAGAACGACAGTTCACATTTGAGGAATCTGCCCATGGAACGCCTTCAGGCGGCCGCCAAGAGAGCCTTGGTGGAGGAAATGGACTCGGCGCAGGAGAACAGCTCGCTGGACAGCACGCCGGCACCCACGCCCAAGCAGGACAAGGAGTACTCCGACTACTACAACAGTTGGTGCGAGGCCAGCGGCAGTGGGGATGAGGTGCTGCCCTCCAAGAGCTTCCGTACTCTGCAGGATCCACGTCGTAGTCCCTGGACAGTGCGTTGTCCGCGAGTGCTCAGCTCCAAGACGATCAACCGGGACTTGGCCCGGGTCACAGAGTCCCCGGAAATTGCGAATGGAAGGGGCAGCAAGAGTCCGGAGTGCTTCCGCCAGAACTCACACTCACAATCCCGGGAACGATCCGTGAGCAGTTGGCGGAGAGTCTAGAACATGGCAAACGAATGCCTATTGTAAATAACAGGGCGGGTCTATAGTCTTTAGCTGGGATGTGAGACCGGTTCAAATGGCAGATCGAATCTCGCCAAGAGAATCTTTTGCGCCCCGAATTCGAACGAAATAAAAAGCGAACTTAAATCGATTCAGGCGGAGTACTTTGGTACCAATGCCTTTGGTTACTCCAACTTCTGGTTCAAAACATGCAGAATCAAGGGGGTAAAGCTTGAAGCATTTCCGAACCGGATTCCACTCCCGAACTTTTGGTAAATTAAGCACCTTCTGCATTTGGCCGAAACTGTCACTGCCCCTGGGAATGGCTGATAAAAGTGCCACTTATTGCATTTCTCATCTCATTATTATCAACACACCCATTCACATTGTACATTATGAATATCGAATACACTCAATACATTAATAAACTAAATCTAATTAAACATGTAAATAAACCAATTGAAACCAATGAAAGGAAATCGTTCATTCGTTCGTTCGTTTGTTACCTCAGTAAAGCGCAAAACCAAAATCATTTTCTAAAACTACATGAGTATTTCAAAATTAGTAAACAGTAACTCATGAAATCGAACCAAATAATAACAAGCATATAAAACTGGAAAAAATCTATCAAACGCCACAAAAAACAACAAAATAAAAACCAATTTCATCTCAACTCAATGATTTTGTAAAACTCGTTCAAAATCCTAAGGTACCTAAAAATTGCAATTTTATTAAAAAACAAATTACCCAAAAACAAATGTTAACTAATTGAATGTTTTCATTATATTCAAAAAATTGTCCTCTATCTACTCTATGTATTTACCTTTATTTTCGCCGCTAATTGACTTTAATTCTGTGTGCCGTATTCTTTTTAATTTGTCCATAAAAATATTTGCGATAGAAATTAAAATAAATCTAACACAGGTTTGTATGCAAACTAATGATCACCAATTGAACGATCTTAAGTAAATATTGATAATACAAAACATTTCCCACCCATTAATGTTAAATGAAAGCAATATGGTTAGACATACTAATCATCGCAAATATTTTTAATAAATAATTGTAGTTCCTTTCCCAAATGCTTCCCTACAAACTTAAGCTTGGAGAGCAAACTCCACCTTGCAAAGAACAACGAATGAAGATTACTTTTTTGTTGTTATGACCATAAATAAATACAATAATAATAATTGAGTGAAAAAACATAAAATGGAAAATTGTACAATATAACTTATCGAAAAGTCGTTCGTTACATTAACCATTCATGAGTTTACAAATGCATAATAAAATGTTTGTTTCTCTTATACTCAATTAACTTGTTTTATACACACAATAAGAAATATATATTTTTAACAAAAATTAATCGTTAACTTTAATAATGACAATGAATGGCTTTTACCCCAAAACTTAAATTGAATTGAACTGACTTGAATTGAACGAACAAAACAAACAAAAGTTGAACAAAAAAGGTGAAGTTTTCTCTCAAAATTGATTTGGCTGCCTGGCATTTGCACTTTCTTAGTTGCTGCTTCAATTTTTAATTTATTATATATTTATTTATTTACTTTTGACGTTTTCTTTATATGTAAGTCTGAACCTGGATCAGTCAAGCAAAGACTTGAAAGTTTCTACAATTTAGTGTTAGCTTTATTTGTTTGTTTCGGCTTGTTAAAGTCCCTCCAAAATAACTCTTCTCGATTTGATCTTTTTCAGGACCTGGACAATCGGATCTATAATTATTTCTCAACGCCATAGAAATCAATTATAGCAACTCAACAGCAGCAAATATAAAACGAAACTGAAAATCAATCAGATTGCTTGTTATAGTTATCTAGTTTAAGTACCAGACACTCTAAGGATCGCCACAATCAAATAACTTGGGAACGGGAACAAGTTTTTAGTAAAATTTCTTTACACTAACAAACACCATTGTAACTGAAGAGGAATGTTTTATTTTTGTTTAACGCGATTTGATAGCAGCACTAAAACCAAACAAAACAATTCTAACAAAATTTCGAAACAAATAGCGAAAGCGAATATTTACTAATCCTAAACGTTAAGATGAAGAATGCAGGTGCATTGAGGTAACAACGAAACGAAAAAAATCTAAGAAACCGACTATGCTTGATATGTATCCGGATAACACGAAAGCGCACATCAAACACGACTAATAATATATTACACATTTTTGTTACTTGCGAACATTATAATTTCATTCTTGAAGATTCTTTTGTTTGTCATCAATATTTATTCATTTACTCAGTTCGTATGCATACGAATGTTCTTTAAATTTAAATATTTTTGATTATTATTATTTGATATATATATATGAAATATATTTTGTGTTGTATAATTTTTTATGCAGTAAACATTTTTAGTAAATAAAGAGAAGTAAAATCAATCAAACTTGAAACATCTATTTCTCGACAGAAACCAAAGTTATTTTTGGGCGTTTGGAAGGTTTATATATTTTTCAAGGTTTACTAAATAGCTAAAGAGGTCATAAACTTAAATTAATCGTTAGAAGCTTATAGAAAAATCGTACGGGTAAAGAGAAGCCAAGTGTAGCAAAAACCTTTCCATCCTGATTAATTTTAGTTTAAACTCAATGTCAATTCCAAGCGTATACAAACAAATAATATCTTTGTTTATACAGAAGAGTACGTACGTACACCTTTCAATATTCGTATTCCTAATCGAAAACCCTTAGTATATATATATATATATATATATATATGTTTATATCAATATTCAATTGTTTGGACTTGCTGATCGATGTAACGCCAACATAACGTATTAAACTTTCAGCTACAAGCGTTACAGTCAACAAACGTTTACATCTAGGTTATATTGGTATATTGCATAGCCACATAATTCTAATAGTCTGACAAGCTATTTTAACATTAAATGCATACCTATAAGTATGTTAATAGTTTACGTATTTTATATGTAAATACTTTCAACAGTACGATTCGGTAGTTAACTTTGAGATAATTTTCGTTTGTACAACAAATCTCATTTGAGATCAGTAATATAAAAATAAGAGATAGTATTTGGAAATTAAAGGCAACAAAACTGAAATATAAGTTTGTATAGTTATTGTATACAATATTGCTTGGCTAGGTAACTGTTTTCTAATATATGTATGACACACCGTTTAAGAAGTCGGACTGTCGACCTGCACATCCATAAGTTCTTGCACTATCCGGTACTCATGGCAGTCTGGACATAGCAGACGGCCATTGGAACGGTTTAAGCGCTGAACCTTCTCGTGGCAAACGACATGAACCAGTTTGAGGTTCTTTAACGAAAATATTTCAAGGAAGTACTCGAGTACAGAGATGTCGACCACTTGCTTCTTGTGCAGTAAGCACTTGCGCTGCGGATGGCTAACAAGGTCCTCCACATTTACCACCAGGGCAGGAAGAATCGTGCGGCACAGTTCAATTTGGTGGTCCAGGTTCCAGACCTGAAATAAAATGAGATTCTCCCGCGAGGCATACGGATTAATGGTGTGCTGCATGGAACAGCAGTTTCCGTTTTCTGAGAAAGCGCCCTGGCAATAGAAGTCACCCAAGTCCGAGCATAAGGACACGGACCACTCGTCGAGTATGCAGTTTTCTTTGGTGTACTCCTTGATCACCTGCCGTAGTCTCTTGCTGGGCAGACTGCCGGCATCCGTTTCTTCCTCGCCCAGCTGCTGGTGGAGGAACTCGTGTTTTTGCTGGCACTTTCTGTCAAACATCATGGAGAAATAGTCGCAGCCGATGAGCAGGTATCGAAACTGCTCCAGCACCGAGTTAATCACCTGCCTTGCCTTGGCATTCTGACGGTACAAGGGATTCCGGGTCAGCTCCTCCTTAGCCTTATAGTAGTAGCCGCGTACCCGTGTCTGTGCCCGCATAGCCATGGCCTCCTCCTTCGAATGAAAGCGTTCCTCCCCGCCTTCGAACCACTCCACGTGCTCGGCCTTCAGGCTAAGGTGCGCCTTGGTGTTGTCGAGGACGCGTCGCTGTTTCTGGTGCTCGTACTCCGTGATCATGCGGCGGAACTTCTCCGGATGCTGTTCGATAAAGTCGTAGAAAATATCGGCCACCTTCAAGAGTGGTGATTGCTGCCGCATCTTTTCAAACTCAAAGTCGGCATCTAAGAATATCAGTGATAAGTAAGCGATTGAAATTCGCGGATGATTCGCGCTCACCTGTAGTAATGACAGCATCGGGTCCAGCCACAATGAACAGGGTCTGGGCGGGCAGACTGTTCAAATACTCATCATCGGACACTTCAAAGCCATCGGATGCCAAATACAAATGCAATTGGATCAGCTGAAATAAACAAATTGAATTAGTTGAACTGCCCTTGACATGGCCCAATTATAACGAGGCCAGGGTGACGGAGTGTCTCGACCAAATTCCTGGTTCAGTGGCCTTCAGCTTGTGTGTTTTTGGCTGAGCAAGGTCGGGCGAACGCAACAGATGGTTAGCTCCTAAGACAGGACATGCGCACTGGCCGCAAATGGTGGCATTGAAAGAGAGCCAAACAAACGCGGAAGCCACTGCCAGGGACGTGGCCTTGAAACTGCCAGGGCCAGGAACTTTCTCTCCAAAAAAAGAGTGGGTGGGTATTTTTCTGCGCGCTTTTAGACAGGAGTTTTTCCTGCTTTTCTTACCGGAAACTTGCTATTTGCCTTTGTTATCAGCATTTCCAGGGAATTGGCTCCAATGCCGTATTTTCTGGTCCGCTCGTTATCAGTAACCTTGTAGCCACGCATTGGAGCACCTGCTGTTTGCCTGGATTCGGATGAGATTACATCCTTGAGAGCTCCTCCAGGTTTCTGGCTGCTGTTGTTGTTCTTAGGACTGTTGCGTGTCGTTGGTGCCATGATTGCATCTCTAATGTAGTTGAGCATCGTGCTGGCTCATGTCAAAGTCAAATTTAAAGTAAAGTCCTTGCAGCAAGTTTCCTTTTAAGCGGACAAAGCAAAATAAACGAAGTGTACAGTGTTGGGTGATGGCAGACTTTTTGTGTGCTGAACAACGCCACAAATGCGTCCTGACTGCGATAACATAATAATAATAGCGAATTACTTAATATTGAACAATATTGTTGAATATTAATATTGTAATATAATCTTTATTTAATATTGTCTGGGTTGTTTATTCTCTATTAAATTGTATTACAAACCAAAAATAAAAAATCATCTGTTGAAATCATCTTGAATTTAAATCTTTAATCAAAAAACTTCTTTAAATAATTTTATTTTGTAAAATCTATTTCGTATAAGTAATTTTCAAAAAAAAATTGAATGATATAATAAGAGAAAATACCTATATTCAGCTAGTAAATGGCATCGAGAGTAGACTTGCCACCTCTATTGATGACTTTTAACGTTTTCCAACACCGCGTTTTGCATTAGAAAACAGCTGTTCGGGCAAATAGTTTTTTTGTAAAAAGTTGAGGAAAAACTACAACAAACGTAGTTTTAGTGTACCATGAACTGGGCTGCGGGCTCTGCGTAGTCCGTACGCCCCTCGGAACCGCGAATCGAGATGAATCTGCGCCCGCGCTGCCGCAAGTGGCTGCCATTGGCCACCCAGCAGCTTCGACTGCGGAACCTGGCGCGAATTCAGGGCTTCAACATTGAGTCCGGGCCGCAGGAAAGGTCGTTGGAACAGGTGGAGCCAGAAGATGTGCTCCTCTACTACACTCTGCACACGGACAGGGACAGCGAGCCATTCTACACCAGCGAAAAGCTACCGCAGCGTCACCAGCAGCAAAAGTGGGCGGAGATCTGTACGGATGACGAGGCCTGGCGGAAAACCAATGCGCAGTGTGTCTGCGTTAAGGTGTGGAAACACTTTGCGGCGGAGAGGAGAGACGGCCAACCGGCTGAGACTGACTACAAAAATAAAAAGATATGCGGGTATCTAAGAAACTTGGCTTACAATCTAAAACTCCTTAATACTTCAACTATTTCCAGAAGATCCCAGCTAACGCCCAGCAGGCTGCCACGCCCACCCGAACTGCTCCTTACCTGGGGCGTCTACTTCTCCGGCCTTGTACCCCTGTCACCTCTCACACTGGCCCAGTGCGGCCAGAATTGTCTGGTTTTCCAGTTAAATGGCGAGCAGTTTGCTTCTCCGTCGATGATAAGCGAGCAGGGCTTGCAGTCGCAGCTGATATTGCACTACCAAAACTATGCTGCGGATGAGGAATGGGAAGAACCGCGGGATGAGGGCATCAACTCCCCGGCCGTTAGCCGCAGCTCCAGTCCCGTGCTTCGGATGAGCACCATGCGGCACGCCCAGCTGAAGTGCCGGCAGCAGGAGATCCGTCGCAGCAATAACCTGGACAAGCTGCTCATGCTGCAACATCTGCAGCGTTTGCAGCAGCAGAAACAGCGTCAAATGGCAGAGATCTGCCGGGAGATCGCACGTCTTAGTGTGCACTGTGTGACCAGGAACGAACTGCGCCTGAAGCCCCGCACCACATCCCTGTCAGGCGACCACCCAGCCCACCATCACCATTCCATGGGCCGCGCCCTGAGCGTGTTGCTCGCCGAGCAGCAGCAAATCGCGCCCCTCACGCTCTACAATGCCCAGCAGCTAACCAAAAGGATCGAAGCGTTAAGGAGCCAGCAACGGCTGCTCCAAGCGGAACGGGAGACTTTTCGACAGCGCAACGTGCGGGCCCGTCAACGACTGGGAGAGATGCGTGAACAACGTGAGGCACTCCAGGAGCAGCTCCACCGTCAACGGCATCGGCTGGAGCAGGAACGCCTAGAACTGCGCACTCTGGCACCTCAACGTCTGGCGCAGCGCGACCAAAAAAGACAGATAGTTAGACAGGTGGGCGATAGAAAGTCCCAGGACTATAATGTCAATAATAACCATTAATAACTCTTTTGTGAAGGTGGAGCGTCGAATGTCTACTCTGGTGCTGGAGCTACAGGAGATCTACAACATCAAGAACGTTGGCGAACAGCAGCTAAGCATCTGCGGCATCGCCTTTCCCCACATGGAGCAATATACGAGCGACTCCCGCCAGGCGACGAACGCGCAGTTGCTGGAAAACGTCTCGCCGCTGGCGGTGAGTGCGGCTCTGGGCTATGTGGCCCATTTGGTGCAGATGCTAGCCATTATCATGGATCGGCCGCTGAGGAACCGAATTCTTTACGAGCCATCGCGGGCAAGGATTGTGGACGATATCAAGGAGTTGACCTACACCACCCGGGAGTAAGTAAAATCGGAATGTAAAATCGTGGTATCAATTGGTTTATGTAACAATCCGTTACTATATCTTTAACCACAACCCAAATGCTTATTCAGAAAAAAATGTCATCAAATATGAAAAATAAAATTTTTTTACATATACAAATTAACATGTTTATTTCTCGATATCCCATTGCAGATTCCCCCTGTATACGCGCTCCATTTTGCCATCGCAGCAGACCAAGTATGCCATCTATTTGCTGCGGCAGAACGTTTCCCAGTTGTGCTTCGAAATCACCGGTCACTGCGATCTACGCAATACCATTGGAAATCTACCGGAGCTGTTCAAAACCCTTCGCTACATCGAACGAACGCAGAGAGATGATGTCGACGAGCGGGACGGACATAAAGACGATGTAAGTGGTGGAGGAGCACGCCTGGCCAACGGGCTGACTGCACCGCACCTCTCGCAATCACACTCGTCGGTGGACATAAACCACGTGCCACTGCCGACAAGCGCCAATGCGGTCAAGGATGCGTTCCTCCAGCAACTGCTGCCCCCGGGCGTGAGTCAGGCCCTGGCCATCGAGGGCTATGCGTCAACACAGCGGTAATATAATAGACATTATCTTCAAGTAGATGTTTACTAAATATACTTTACATATAGTATTGAACAAGATTTTATACTATAAATGACTAACTTAAACTTTCTTTATGGATAAATGGTACAAATAATAATGAATCAGGCGAATTTATATATATTAGTTGCGAAATTCCTGAATGACGTCAAATTGTCAAATTAATCCTTTAATTTGTTGCAGCATTTGTCGTTCAGTGGGCTCCTATTCGGATGGTGAGGACGATTTTCGGCCACGACTGGAGCACAATTATTCAAATTCGGACTCCAACATAACGCTGCAGACGGAGCGTAGCTGAGGAAGTGCAGTTTACCCAAATATCTTATATCCAAGAAATCAGCAGCCTGCTCTAGCAGCAACATTTTTGGATTGGTCGCGTATTAGTTGGAAATAATTTGATAACTTTTAAGTTATCAATGTCAACGGTATGGTATATATGGTCCATTGCGGGCATATTATTTTTAGTTGTTTAAGATCTCTGTGTAAATTCCTGTTTATTGTTTGTTTGCTAATGTAAGCTACGAATAAACAATTAATATTTTATACACTTAGAATGTTCAATTATATTTGTTGGGACTAAAAAGAATATCTTTGAGTAATCGTTAAGCCACAGAAAAGGGTTTCCGTACTTAATTTTTGTTTGTTTGATGCTTTAATGATTCCGAGTTTAAATGTGCCGCCTATTAGTGTTGAAAGGTGTGCAAAGCAATTGTTGCTTTATTACATAGGCGTACCCAGGAACATTTTTTGGTTGAATAATGAACACTTTAAACGGACTTTTTTTTACTACTTTTTTCTATTTCATACAGAACAACTTAAGGTATTCATTGTTACAGAGATTTTAAGTGTCCCCCAATCAAAAATTAAAATTTAACCAGCCACGACTCAGCCAGTGTTGCACACCGTACCTTGCCATTAACAGTGCTCTGTGAAGCCAGCTGATTATCGCTTGGCCAAAATTATTTTGCTGGCAACTTGCGTCCGGGTCTTGGATGTTTTTCGGGCGATTTCCTGGCTAATAATAAATAAAAAATGTGCTGGCACAGGCCTAAAGCGGGGCCAATGAAAGTGCAATAATTGTTTCAATGAATGAAAACGCGAAAAGCTTTAATTTTAAGGTGCTGTTGAAGTGTGCGAGTGTGTGTGTGTTTGGCCCGGGCCTTGGCCTTTTATTTATCGAATTGGTATCAATTAAAACGCTGAGCAATAAAAAGCACTCTATGACGATTTGGTAGCCGGCACCTGTTTCGACCGATAAGCGGACTGACTGTTGGAATTTCACTACGGGGAATGCCTGTGATTTACGCGTTTAACTTTATCGTGTTTACTCTTCCTGTTTACAGCTCAAACAAAAAAAACTCAGGTGTGATAAGGTGACTTTTACACATAAATTGCTCAATGGAAACGTGGCAGTAGGGTTATAAACTTACCCGGCATTTACGTTTGTTTGGATAATAAGAAATAACTAATAGTGAGAGAAAAAGTGCATATCTAATTAAGAGTTAAATAAGTTCAATTCAGGCGCCAAAAGTCAACACCTGCCTTTGCTCTCTTTTTTTTGACTTAAGCTGACTACTCTCTTAAGCGCTCTCTTAACTTGACTTAAACCTAAGCTAACTACGCTTGCACTCTCTTTGCGTCGAAAATGACGGAGAATAGTGTGCCGCTACGTGATTTCGATGAAGAGAGTGAAACGGACTCGGAGACGGAATTGCTCATACGCCGTGATGTCCCCAGCGGAAACAAAAACAACAGCAATCACAGGGGAAGGCGGCGTAAAAGCTCGTCGGGCTACAGCGGCGGCGACGTCGACGCCGGCGTCGGGAGCTCTGCCGCCGGCGCTGGCAGCTTTCTGGGCAATCTCTTTGGAGGCAACAGTTTTGGCTCTGCCGCCGGCCAGATACGTTATAGAAATGAGCGGAGTCGCGAGCGCGCCAAAAACTCTAACGGCAGCTACAGCAGCATTTCGAAACTGGCGCAATTAACGCACACATCAGCGGGCGTCGCGGGGGCGGGGGCGGGGGCGGGATCGGGAGCGGTCGGTGGGAGTGGCAGCGGTAGCGGTAACGGAGTAATCACTACAGATAATGCAGCAGCGGCTGCAGCCTCAGGGGATCTCGGCAATGGCGGTACGCACAGCACAGTCGTCGATCCGGAAAGCGGCGCCTCCACGGTCTTCTACCAGCACAATCGGCGGAAGAGCAAGAGCCGCAGCATTGGCAACGTCTGCAAGTTGTGCCTCTGCAGGTGAGTTCACTTTCGGTGCGATCCGTTACCATCCGCCAACGCTGCGTATGCGCAACATTTCCATTTCACTGCTGCAATAGTGTTGGCGCGGGAGTTATGGGAAAGTAAATAGCAAGACAACAGCTGTTCACTAGCCAGCAAAATATTTGTAAACTCAAGTCTCACACAAAGACAACTAGTAAAGATTTTAAGAAAAAAGGGAGGGCCGGGACTTATAAACAAGTAAAACGCTTCAAAAAATTATATTTTTTTGTTAGCTTGATTTGTTTTAAGATTTGTATTCTTTTAATACTTTTGTTTTTAATAATTTAATAAAGAATAGGTGATTAGCTAAAACTTCTTCACAATTAAAATTCTTAAATTAAAACATTTTCAATTGGACCCAAATATTTCATCATTTCTGATTGCATAAAACCAGAAATCTAAACTATGTAAAGGCCCTTCATAAATGTTCTCTCAAAGTAAATATTATTATCTTAGCGAAAATTCAACGGATTATTTAAGAATACTTTACAATAACTTTTGTTAGTGCTTTGTAAGCAATACTTTGAATTCAATTCTTTTAAACACAGCAGTACACACATACAAATAGTTTTCCTAATAATTCTATAAATAAGCTAGAATATTAAATATGAGCCTACAAAATCAAGAAAAACGTTGACCTCTCTCAGCCATTCTATCACTTTCACAATTAAACAGAATTATACCGAACAAGTTGTTGTTTCGCTTTTGGCACTTGGAATTTGTTTATTATTGTTTGGCCCGAGCAAAATCTTTTTGCGGCGCATATTGGTAGAGGCTTCCGAAATGAGTAAAGCGAGCCAAAATTTGATGTGTTGCAATTTTATGTTACTTTTAAATTAGATCTTTTACGAAACACATTTCCAAGAAGATGATTCTAGCCGAAATGCGAGTGGAGATGTATGGGCAACACATGACAAATACAATGAATGCATCTGTTTATATGTATATACGGCGATTCCGAGATATATTTTTAATTTACCTAATTAGAGAGGGAAACAGAAGAGAACTTTTGAGAAAGGCCGCACATGCGAGCTGGCGAACGAGCACACACGTCTGGAAGTAGATCGGAGAAAGAAAATTAAAAACATTTCGGTTTCCGCGACGAACTGCAAATCGATAAACGTGACGGGACTCACAGACGTCTTTCCACGTCTGCGGGGAAGATCTGAACGAATGGAAATAATAACAATAACACGGCTATAAATAGTAGACCAAGACAAGACAGCGAGTGAGTCGGGTGACAAGGCAGAAAGTAAACGCAAACGTGGGGGGCCAACATTTATTTTCTTCCAACACCCACCGAGCGTAGAGGTGGAACTATAATTGCCACAAAACTTTGTAGAAAAACGCACAACTCCACCCGTTACCTGTGCATTTTTAATCGATGTTTGCCGTGTGACTTGAAACCCGATTGGTGGGCGAGCAAAAAAAAAGCGGCTCAAGAAGTCACCAAGAAATGCTAAAAATTCTGAAACCAGTTCCCGCGGTTCCTCGGCTGGTTTGTGTACGCGTTGTTGTTTTCAAGGTTTCTAAAAAATACAAACGAGTTGCACAGAAGAAGTCGCTTTAGGGCTTTTTTTTTTCGGTCAGACGCTGCTTTTTGTTTCGAAAATTGAAAGTTTCTCTACTGGTTGGTCGTGGCTTATCAGAATCGGGTCGATTGTCTACCAAATACAAAACGGAGTCACAAACTCCGCAATGCGTCATTTGATCGGACTGATATAAAGTTTAAATCCAAGAATTCCATTGCTCAGAGCTCAGTAAAAATACTTTATTATTTAAAAGTTATTAAGCATAAAATGCTTTCAAACTAATTCGTATTTAAGCAGAAAAAATTGTGACAAAGCAAAGCATTTATTAAAAGCAAAATAGTTACTTTACTGTGGGAAAAGCAAATAAATTTCATGTAACATATGTATGTATCTTTCGTCCATGCCATTATTTGTGTACTTAACCGAACTATAGGGTCGTACAAGTTATAGGTATATAAATGTTTACAATTTACAAAGTATTTTTGTTGAAGATATATTACGTCTCATAAAATTAGTATGTGTGTTGTGTGCGGCACAAAAGGCGGATTTCATGTTTATCAGTATTAAATAACATATTTTCTCGTAATCCAATGCCCCAATGTCATCTCTTTATTTTCAAGTGAGTATTTTATACGTTAAAGACCACTTATCGCCCTCTGACCACGAATATGTTTTGAGGCCTTTACAGATTCAAGCTCTCTTCAATTTTCGACACCCAGCTTTTGTGAAGGCTTTTTTACGCAGAGCCTAGTCATTCGCCTGTTTGAAACTTTTCTTGGGTTTTTCGTTTCATTTTCGGCGCTCAACTCCGATTGCCGTTTCGGTTATATGAGGCTCAAAGATTTCGACAGGCCGATTAGAATTGCAAAGTGAGGCGCCATGCGGCACAGTTCGCTGGTGTGATTGTTGCTGCCACAGTGGCCAGTGGGTTGGAACCAACTTGGCGTTTAAATTTCCCTGATTTTCCTCCAAACAATGGTAGCGTTCCTGTGTTTGCAAACTAGGTTATATAGGAAAATATTCCATTACCCCATAAAAGATTGCTGATAACGTTTCAGTTTTAGTGTTATTTAAAATAAAAAATATATTTTTATTGCTCCCGCTTATTTGGTATACAACAAAAAAATACATTTTTAATATACTGTGTTTTTATAGACATTCATATATTGCTTTTGTTGCTCCTTCAAGAGTGTAATAAAATCTTTAAACCTCTTTCATAAGTTTTAAGCGATCCGAATCAATCATACTCGAGCTAATTGGAATTGCATTAAACATAGCCATTGCACACTGAAGACAGACTTTTCCCAAGCTTTGCTTCCACTTTGCCGCATGCAAATTAGTCCGCCACTCCCCGTCCCCTCAGCTCGCCCACAAAACGCCACAAACTGTCAATGGTAACGCCTAATGTTATTATTTTCTAGTCGCCGTTAGCTGTTTATCTAGTTGTTGCTGTTCCGACTAAATGCAAATGGTTGGGTAAAGAAAAACGAAGGGAAGGGGATGAGCGGTGAAATGCGACAACGATTGGCGCCCTCAACTTGGCCTGGCATTGTTTTCCACCCACCGCCAATGTGGGTTAATAACCAAAAGCCAGAAGGCAGCGCAAGTCACACAATTCATAGCTCACCTATTTTCATTCCGGTTACCCGTGAAAGAGTATATTTTGTACACGTGTTTCCACTCCCTAAGCAACCATATTTGTCTTTTTCCGCAACAACCAAACATATGTGCATAAAATAATTATACCCAATACCTGGGCCACCATTCAGTTATTTTCTATACAAAACTCGTTAATAATTTATCGATGTCGGTATCATTAGTATTTAGGTTTCAAATTCGATTTCACTTAATATGGTTAAGGATGGTGAAAATTGGTAGATATTGTCACTTTTACTTTGTATAAAACTCATTCGCTTAAATTCAATGAATAATTTAAAATATTTTTCTTTTGTTTTTATTATTGCTCTTGGGTGATAATATGTGAGTTTGTCTTACCCGATATGTTTATGCCGGAAATTTGACAGCATTTTGTAGAAATATCAGTAAACAATATCCCAAAATCAGCCATACGTATATCTGTAGATATTTACTTGACTGAACTACAAGATTTGTAAGTCAATAAATATGACCCAAAAACCGAACTATACGAATTTCTTATTTTAAGTAATTTTAAAGATTTTTTTAAACCCTAAATAAAACTCACTTAACACTTATCTTTGGCACAACTTTGTAAATTAGTTTCCTTGAAGTGTGACACACAGTCGTTAAAATAAATTGGTTGAGGGAGTTTGGAAGAGAAGCGATGAGTAACCACCATTTGGTGATGCATAAATTACACAAATCATGTACTCAGTTTTTCAATCGCTTTTTGAAAATAACTATTTTCAGTGAGAAATAGTTTTCTCTTTGTGTTTCTGGCGTTTTATTTTCTCTTGTTGTGCGGTAAACTGTGTTTTCGTTTAATGACTTACTATAGCAACAATATTTGATTTTTAATATGTTGATAAGAATTATGCCGTATTATTGGATGGATCTTACTATCAGGTTTCTGATAACAATATTTGTAACGTAAAATGGTTGCCTTAATAGATAACATATTGTGGGTCATAGAATAAATCGTACAATTTGGCGTATACAAATAGGGACCCTATTTCAAACACTTTTTTCAATTTGTCACCTATCAATGATAACCCAAATCATTTCCATTGTTTTATTTGAGGTTAAAGAACAATAATAGTTTTTTTCGTTAATGAACCATAGCCAAATCGCAGATAAAAACATTTCTCTAATTACTGCCATCAAAGGGCTAACATTTCCATTAAAATGTATAAAAAATTAAATACCTAGGGTTAATCTCACAAAAATTTAATTTATACCAGTTTATCTGTGTTAGGTGATTTTAAATATAAAGCTTAAATGGTTTAATTTTTAAAATAGGCTTATCAAATTGGATTTGAAAAAGATAATTTATTTGTCTTGGTTAGTAAAAAACCAGTAGAAGAAAATGATATTTAAAATTAAACAAAAAATGGTTGTAGCTTTTAAAAATTTGCAATGCAGTAAAAGTACACACTTCTCAATAATGGCAGCTGTTAAAAGGCTATATTTAATGGGAAAGGCGGAAAACAGTGTTTGCCAGAGCAGTGCTATGCAATCGAATCTGCTGAGGTCTACAAATCGTTTTGAAATTTCCAGTTAATTACTCAGAACGAAACGAATTGCGGCAATTGTTTGTCATGGCGACTGCATTTCAACTCAAATAGAATGCAGGAAGCCTCAGCTGATCACATTTCGACCGATAAGCGCGATTTGCAAAAGGAAAAAATGCATTAAAACGCATCTAGGCGTATTTAACTAGCGTGACACACTTTTAGATTATGGAGAAACCTGAAGGCTTTGACAGTAAAAGCGCTGACTTTGAAGTGCAACGTGAGTCACTCAGGTGAGCTAATTCTGCTGGCCCTTTTGTTTTCTTTCTCTGTTGCAGACAAGTCGTTGAACTTTCGCTTGAGCACTTTTTGGCAACTTTTTCTTATGAGATCATGACACGAAATAGTCTCGCCAACGAATGTGTGTATGTTATATTGACAAAACTTCGAAGCGTGCTCTATTCGCACACGCCTAGCGCAAGCGGCCAAGTAGAATGGCAGTAATAAAAAGCTGTAAAAAAACGAGTTTTCTGCTTGCAAACAAATAAGAGGAGCAGCATGGCGCTGATCTAAGCAGCTGAAACGCAGACGCCCGACATGAGCTTATTTAATTAACATCTGAGTGCTAACGAAAGCGACGAGAAGATTGCGATTGCTCACTGAGCAATAAAGGGGCCATCATTTTTAACTGCCTGTCTGCTGGGTAATTTGAATTACGCGCCTTTCGTAGCGTTGCCAGATGCGTGGATAAACATCTGGTGTCAGCCCTGGCAAATCGAAACATATGGTTGTCTCATTCTCCCTTATTGATTTCTCTTGGGACTCAAAAACAGGGTTGTTAATCGCGTAGACGACGCAGTTTTCATACGGAATTTTCACATTCGCATTTGTTTTGTGCATAAGAATTTCACCTAATTAATTTTTATTTTAAAGTGCCAGGGGATGCGTGTGCCATGAGCCGCGTTGTTGATTATGTGAGAACGGCAGACAGAAAACAGCGAATCGAAATTGACGCTGCAGTTGCAGAGAACAAAGGCCGCAAAGGCTGCATTAGCAATAGACTAACACAATAATTTACCAGAGCTTCAATATCGCAAATCTCGGCCAGCGAAAATGGATGATGCTACCTCCCAGAACTCGGCTGCAACGCCAATGACGCGAGAGAATATTCCGCTGCTGAATCGCCAGCGGAACCGCTGGTATCTTTTTAGGTATGAATCATCAATGCTGTCCCACTTATGTAGGGGGGATTTTCTCGTTTTCTTATCAACTTTTTGCAGTGCACTTGTGCCAAACAATTACTGTTAATCGGTTGAGTTTGGGGTGCTCTCGCTTTAACTCACGGAAAGCCTGGCTTTCCACCTCCCACTTGCGCACTCACTCACACACACCCACACACTCCCACACAGATGCATACACATTCCCATGATTGTTGTTGTCGTCTGGATTTTCACTTTTGCTTATTTTTCGAGTTTTTATTATTGATTTTCCACTCAAGGTCGCATACTCTTTTTATGGCACTCAGACTTTGTGATTGAAATTTAAATTCGCTTGGCGAACCACTTGATACCTAATAGGGTTTTCACATCAGAATATTAACGTTAAAGGTTCAACAGCTATTGAAAGCGCCGTAAAACGTTTATGGTTCGTGGGGATTTGTTTAAATATGGAATCAGTAGTTTCAATTACCATATTTATTGTATACTTAATGTTAAAAATTATAAATGATAACATTTTGTTTTCAAATGCATGAGTAAACATTACTCATTGTAATATACATGTTTGGTAACAGCAAAAACTGGAAATTTCTGTTCATTTGAATTTTAAGTTGTTTTTAAGTACAAGTTTAAGAGTTCATTTGAATCATTAAATTAAATGTACATTATTATTTTTTAAATGTTACACAAGAAAGAATTTCCTTCTAATGCAATTTAGTCTGTTAATATGAAAATCGATTTTTTTAATAATGTCGGTGATTATAAAAATCCGTTATTTTCAAGTTTCAGTTGGAAAAGTTCTTTGCAGACTTGAGAAGTTTGTGAGATAATAAATTTCAACATTTTTTTGACACCTGTTTTCGTCATGTTTGGAAATATTAACCAAATTCTTAGTGAAACAACAAGCAATACAATTCGATTGATAAAATCGCTCAAATGACTAAGGCTTGAAGATCGTTTTATGATTTTAAATTCCGTCAATAAAAGGGTTTTATGGGTATCTGGGGAGATCGGTTGGAAGGATGTTCCTGGCTCACATGCTGACAGAGACCAGCGCAATACTGATTCTCGTCTGTCTTTACAGCTGCTGGCGCAAATGGTTCCGGCCACGCGAACTGAGGGCCCGGACCGTCAATCTGGGCCGGGTCAACACGGAGAAGTTCCCGCCAAACGAGATCCGGAACCAGAAATACAACTTCATTACCTTCCTGCCGCTGGTGCTGTTCGAGCAGTTTCGCTTCTTCCTCAACCTGTATTTCCTGCTGATGGCGCTGTCGCAGTTTATTCCGGACATCAGGATCGGCTACCCGTACACCTACTGGGGACCGCTCGGCTTCGTCCTAATGGTCACCATTTGTCGGGAGGCTGTCGACGATCTGCGCCGCCATCAGCGGGATCACGAGGTCAACTCTCAGAAGTACAAACGCCTGTCGGCCACCAACGGCAGCGGCTACGAGATGGTACCCAGCTCCAAGCTGAAGGTCGGTGACATAATAATTGTAGAGAAGAACGAGCGGGTGCCCTCGGATCTGATCCTGCTGCGCACCAGCGATCGCAGCGGATCGGTCTTTGTACGGACGGACCAATTGGACGGAGAGACGGACTGGAAGCCCCGCTTGGCCGTCCCATACACTCAGAAGCTCAGCCGCGACTCGGAGCTGCACAGCATCGATGCCAGCTTCTACGTGGAGAAGCCGCAGAACGACATTCACAGCTTTATTGCCACCTTCTGCATGGCGGACGGCAGCGAGGACACCGGTCTCAGTGTGGAGAACACACTCTGGGCGAACACCGTGGTGGCCGCCGGCACAGCCACTGGAATCGTCATCTACACGGGTTGCGAGACGCGCAGCGTGATGAACAACTCACAGCCGAGGTCCAAGGTGGGCTTGTTGGACATGGAGATCAACGGATTGACCAAGGTGAGCTTATATACTTAAATAATTATTAGGGATTTATTTTAAAGTGTTTAAATAAATCTGATCATGTAGTTCTCTGATTAGCCATGAAGATGAAATAAAATCTCATCTCTTTTTAACTTCATCAGGTTCTGTTCTGTGCCGTGCTGGGCTTGTCGCTAGTCATGATGATGCTAAAGGGATTTGGCGGCCCGTGGTACCGATACATGTTCCGTTTTGTGCTGCTCTTCTCCTACATCATTCCAATCAGTCTGCGCGTTAACTTGGATATGGGAAAGGCCTTCTACTCGTGGCAAATGCAGAACGACTCCAACATACAGGGAACTGTGGTAAGATCGACTACCATACCGGAGGAGCTGGGCAGGATCTCGTACGTGCTGACAGACAAGACGGGTACACTAACCCAAAACGAGATGGTCTTTAAGAAGATCCACCTTGGCATAGTCTCACACGATGCGGACACCTTCCATCACATTGGACAGATGATACAGAAGCTGTCGGGGAACATACTACAACAGCAACAGGGCAGCGTATCCAGCTCGAGCAGCGGCGGGGAATCGACCAAACCAGTCATGTTCGCCGGCAATAGAATGCGTCGTCCGGAGGGATGGCGGGAATGGGAGGCGGTGCGAGCTTTGGCCCTGTGCCACAATGTTACTCCGGTGAGCGATGACGAGGACAACCGATCCGTGTCCACGGCATCGACCGTCACCGGAGGTAACAACTCGCCCACCAAATCTGTGATAAACATCGAGGCTCCTGGCAGTACGGACACGGAGCATCAGTATCAGGCTGCATCCCCAGATGAGATAGCTCTGGTCAAGTGGACTGAGCAGGTGGGCCTGACCCTAATTGCCAGAGATCTCAATACGATGACTTTGCAGGTGAAGACCCCCAGCGAAGACAGTAAGTAGCCCTATAAACCCTCTTTAGCTGCAACTAATATCAATTCTCTCTCCTTTCCAGATGACATTCTTCTGCATTACCAGATCCTGCAGTTATTCCCCTTCACCAGTGAGAGTAAGCGGATGGGTATTATCGTACGCGAGAGCAAATCAGGCCAGATAACATTTTACCTAAAGGGTGCTGACGTGGTTATGTCCAGCATCGTGCAATACAACGACTGGCTGAGCGAGGAGTCGGGCAATATGGCGCGGGAAGGCCTTCGCACGCTTGTGGTGGCTAAGAAGGTGCTCACCGAAGAGCAGTATTCCGACTTTGAGACCCGCTACAATGCTGCTCGACTCAGTATTACCGATCGCGTCGCCAAGGTGGCGGCAGTCACGGAATCCCTTGAGCGTGAGCTGGAACTGCTTTGTCTAACGGGAGTGGAAGATCGCTTGCAGGAGAACGTGCGTCCCACGCTGGAGCTGCTCCGCAATGCCGGCGTTCGCGTTTGGATGTTAACGGGCGACAAGCTTGAGACGGCTTGCTGTATTGCCAAGTCATCGCAGCTGATTGGCCGGAATCAGGGACTGCACGTTTTGCGTTCCGTTAAGACTCGTACCGATGCCCATCAGGAGCTAAACAGCTTCCGGCGCAAGCAAGGGCATGCACTGGTCATTTCGGGCGAGTCCCTTGAGGTCTGCCTCCAGTATTACAGGCCAGAATTCCTGGAGTTGGCCACGGCCTCACCGGCCGTTGTTTGCTGCCGCTGCTCGCCCACTCAGAAGGCCCAGGTGGTGGCCCTCATCCAGAAGCACACAGGCAAGCGAACGTGCGCCGTAGGAGATGGTGGCAATGATGTCAGCATGATTCAGCAGGCGGACGCTGGAGTTGGAATTGAGGGACGCGAGGGAAGACAAGCCTCGCTGGCCGGCGATTTTAGCATTCCGCAGTTCTCACACATCGCCAAGCTCCTGCTCATTCACGGCCGGCGGAGCTACAAACGCTCGGCGGCCCTCTCACAGTTTGTAATTCACCGCGGTTTGATCATCACCACCTTGCAGGCGGTCTTCTCGGCGGTTTTCTACCTCAGCTCGGTGGCCTTGTACCAGGGCTTTCTCATGGTCGGATATTCGACACTGTACACCATGTTCCCGGTGTTCTCATTGGTGCTGGACCAGGACATCACATCTGAGACGGCAGTCACGTATCCAGAGCTTTACAAGGATCTGTCTAAAGGACGGAGTCTAAGCTACAAGACCTTCTTCATATGGGTACTGATCAGCATATACCAAGGCGGTGTCATCATGTATGGGGCGCTGATACTCTTTGTGGACGAGTTTATCCACATTGTGGCGATCAGTTTCTCTGCTTTGATCATGACAGAGCTTATAATGGTGGCTCTCACTGTGCGCACTTGGCATAGGTAAGTCTTGGACCTTTTTTAAACTTTAATTACACGAACTTGTGTTAAAAAAAATAATTTTTGTTGGTTGATACTTTTACCTTTACTATTTTATAAAAATTAAATTTTATTACAATGCTTCCTTTTTCAGGTTAATGGTGCTAGCGGAACTATTCAGTTTAGCGCTTTATCTCATCTCATTAGCCGTGTTACATGAGTATTTCGGTAAGCTGCTCTTTTAATCCTTTCAATAATTTTATAATAATTTGAGTTCTCTACGTTTTAGACTGGGAGTTTATTTGGTCGTACGATTTTCTATGGAAGGTTTCCCTCATCACGCTGGTTTCCTGCTTACCATTGTACATAATCAAGTTCTTGCGTAAAAAATGTTCGCCGCCCTCTTACTTGAAGCTCTCTTAGATGGTGGCTTTTCAAAAAATTTACAAATTAATTCCTCCACACTTTATAATTATCATTGCGTTCTGTTCACAATTTAAATTTTCTTTATTATTTAGCACTTGATGCTTTGCTTTTAAAACTGAGCAGAAATCTTACAACTTTCATTTGTTTTTTTCAATACCCGCAATTTACCCCAAATATACGTGATATCAGGTTAAATTCCCCATCATCGGCACTACACTTTTGCTTGATGATATTTTTGTTTAATTTGTAAAATTACACAAAAAACAGGAGGCAAAGTGATTCGATTATTGTAATTCAAATTAAAATGATTCTTATTTTTAAGCTTGAGGCGTATCAGTTTCAATATATTTCAGTTGTGTATACCTGATTGTATTTGATTAATATTTAAGTCGCAGAAAACCAAATTATGTTACTAATTATTTAATGATAAAATAAATTAATAATAATTGTATCTATGACTAAAAATTAAATCAATTACAATGGTATAAAAAGATGTAAAACGAAAAATAGATTTTGTATAAGGATTTAGAAATCGCAACGGATTGTGAAATAAAAATTAACATATATAAATTAGTGTAAAACAAAAATGGCAACCCAAAGTTTTATTATACTTTTAGTTATTCTGAAATTTGATCACGGCGGAAGATCCGAAGAAAATCAACTTTTGCTTCAGTTTTTTGACCAAACTCCTGGAAAATAATGGTCGAATGCTGGAATGTCATACCTCGTAGCAATCGTTATAAAATTTCCAATCATATATGTATAACATTTATAAAATTTCAAAATGATGAACCCCTTATGAAAAATGCCAAAATCCGAAATATCCGGAAAATTCAAATTTATTGCGGTTTTTTGATCAAAACCATGGGAAATAATGGTCGCACGATGGAATGCCATACCTCGTTGAATTCGTTATAAAATTTCCAATCGATTGGCATTCACAGTTAAAAAATTTAATTTTGGTCGATTTTTCGCCAAAAAAGATGAACTAACCCCTTATGAAAAATGCCAAAATCCGAAGGATCCGGAAAAATCGACCTTTTTTGCAGTTTTTTGATCAAAACCATGGGAAATAATGGTCGCAAGATGGAATGCCATACCTCGTTGAATTCGTTATAAAATTTCCAATCGATTGGCATTCACAGCTAAAAAATTTAATTTTGGTCGATTTTTCGCCAAAAAAGATGAACTAACCCCTTATGAAAAATGCCAAAATCCGAAGGATCCGGAAAAATCGACTTATTTTGCAGTTTTTTGATCAAAACCATGGGAAATAATGGTCGCAAGATGGAATGCCATACCTCGTTGAATTCGTTATAAAATTTCCAATCGATTGGCATTCACATCTAAAAAATTTAATTTTGGTCGATTTTTCGCCAAAAAAGATGAACTAACCCCTTATGAAAAATGCCAAAATGCGAAGGATCCGGAAAAATCGACTTATTTTGCAGTTTTTTGACCAAAACCATTGGAAATAATGGTCGCACGATGGAATGCCATACCTTGATGAATTCGTTATAAAATTTCCAATCGATTGGCATTCACAGCTAAAAAATTTCATTTTGGTCGATTTTTCGCCAAAAAAGATGAACTAACCCCTTATGAAAAATGCCAAAATCCGAAGGATCCGGAAAAATCGACTTATTTTGCAGTTTTTTGATCAAAACCATGGGAAATAATGGTTGCAAGATGGAATGCCATACCTCGTTGAATTCGTTATAAAATTTCCAATCGATTGGCATTCACAGCTAAAAAATTTAATTTTGGTCGATTTTTCGCCAAAAAAGATGAACTAACCCCTTATGAAAAATGCCAAAATCCGAAGGATCCGGAAAAATCGACTTATTTTGCAGTTTTTTGATCAAAACCATGGGAAATAATGGTCGCAAGATGGAATGCCATACCTCGTTGAATTCGTTATAAAATTTCCAATCGATTGGCATTCACAGCTAAAAAATTTAATTTTGGTCGATTTTTCGCCAAAAAAGATGAACTAACCCCTTATGAAAAATGCCAAAATCCGAAGGATCCGGAAAAATCGACTTATTTTGCAGTTTTTTGATCAAAACCATGGGAAATAATGGTCGCAAGATGGAATGCCATACCTCGTTGAATTCGTTATAAAATTTCCAATCGATTGGCATTCACAGCTAAAAAATTTAATTTTGGTCGATTTTTCGCCAAAAAAGATGAACTCCTTATGAAAAATGCCAAAATCCGAAGGATTCGGAAAAATCGACTTATTTTGCAGTTTTTTGACCAAAACCATGGGAAATAATTGTCGCACGATGGAATGCCATACCTCGTTGAATTCGTTATAAAATTTCCAATCGATTGGCATTCACAGTTAAAAGATTTCATTTTGGTCGAGTTTTCGCCAAAAATTATGAACTCCTTATGAAAAATGCCAAAATTCGAAGGATCCGGAAAAATCGACTTGTTTTGCAGTTTTTTGACCAAAACCATGGGAAATAATGCTCAAATGTTGAATTCGTTATAAAATCTGCAATCGATTGGCATTTAAAACTAAAAAGTTTAATTTTGGTGCATTTTTCCCCAAAACATAAATCCGAACAATTCGAAAATTCGGAAATTGTTCGTACATGGGAACAACTTACAAGGAATTGGTTTCCGAGATCCGATAAGATATAAACGTCAATATAATAATATAAGCCTCTAAACCAAGATCTTTTGTATTGTACATTTTTTATTTACCATTTTGCTTGACATTTTGTTTCTGTTTATTACTAATTCACAATTCTTTGCTTGAAATACATAATAATTTTAATAATATATTATATTATGCATGTACGCACATACAAACATACTTACGTACGTAAGTTAATGAATTTTGTGTTGTCTTTTTCTTGGTAATATAATAGTTTAGCTTTTGCTATGCTTTTAAAATGCATGACATCCATTAGCGTTTACACTTTCATGGTTTTTCTAACAATTTATTATTTTGTATTTTCTTTTCTTACTTGGTTTTGTTTGTCGTTTATTGAAATCTGGTTTCGTTACTCAGTTTATAATTGCTTAGCAAAACTTCGACTCATTATAGGTTGAAATGATGAAGCATTGTTTTACGATTTGCTTAAATGCGCAGAAATACTTTTGAAGTAAACAATTTGCTTGTTTTTTTTATTTGTTTAAATTTCACAACATTGAAATTTTATTTCTTCATCAACACATGCAGTTTTTTAAAGTTTTATTTTTGGTGTGCTTTGTTAATAACATTTTGATTTCCATTGTATACTCGCTTCAATTTGCCTTTTGCTAATACTGAATTCTGTTGAGCCTTCTATTTTCTTTCTGTTGAGCCAACTCCTTGCTAAGAACTCATTCGAGCAATTTAATTCAACTTTTATGTCGGTGTATAAAAGTTTCATCCATTTGGGTTTCTTAAAGCTTTTCCATTTCCTCATTTGTTCAATCAACAATTTCAACTCTAATTCTCAACTTGGGTACAGAGAGCTGAGCTACATTTGTAAGGGTATGGGGGATGTATATATTTGGGATAAATATTTTGTAGACATATGTGTGTGTATGTTGACATTGTGTTTCGTAATCGTTCACTTCTAATTTACTAAAAATCTACAAAATATAATATTTTAATTTTTTCTCTGCTAAATATATTCTGCATAAACGTACTTTATAATGATTGTTTAACATTTATACATATCTTTTTATGCAATTTTTAATTTTATACTTTGTTTTTATATGTGGTTCTTGATGAGGTCAACTTTGATTTGCTTTATTTGAAACTTTCGGTTTTCATCTATTTGAATATTTTTATATTAAGAATGATCTTGTCTAAATGTTGATATGTGTTTACTGTTTTATGTTGTGGCTAATATGAAATTTTGGCTTTTTGGTTTATATTTTTACAATTTCGAAAAGGTTTAACTTTAACCGCATTCTTTTATGTGTTATTTCGGTTTTATTTTGTTTTCGATTTTATCTTTGTGTTAATAATATTCAGTCTATATAAACATTCATTTATACATTTATACTAAATTTTTGGAAAACAAAACGGGAAAAACGTGCGAAACTGACACAAAATTGATGCACATTTTCAGTTCCTCAACCAAAACTGGTAAAATTTCTCTAAAAAGAAATCGGATTCAAATAATGTGGAAATAAGAATACCCGAAGACCTGTGGATGAGCTGTTTTATATAGGAGAAAGTGTTTAATTTATGTAAATCTATCAAAAATTAATGTTTGTTTACTTTACCTCGCTATGCTTTACATATATATTCAATTATGTTTGTATAGTTAGGGCATGCTATTTGCTTTGCATTTGTTTCTGTATATTTAGTTAAATATTTTGTTATATTTGGTTTTTGTTTTGCTTTTGCTTGTTAACACATTCCTCTTGACGAGTTTTATTCAATGCATTTGATTTTTAGTTGTATCTTTCATTGCTGTTTCTGAATTTTTACTCAAGTTGGCTATACCATTTCACGTGATCTGACATTTTCTGCAACAGATTCCTTTAATTTTGCCTTTGCATTTGAATATAGATAGAAATCGATGAACATAAACGAATTGAACTATTTACATACACATAATAATACATAAACCCGTATACATATATAGGTTTCCGTTTGGTTATATCTCTAATCACTGATCTCAGTATGTGCTAGCTGTCCAAGTCACATACTCGCAGAAACCTACAAAAGCAAAACATCTGAGTTTTTGTAGGGTACAAGGATTTCGGTTTTTATTTGGTTTTGAGTCGAAAGTAAAACCTTTTGCAATATACTTTTCAACATCGTATGCTAAAATATTTATTTCTGATATTGTTATCCGTAATATTTTACGTCGTGCTTGGTAGAATAATGTTTATTAGAGTGTTCTAGCAGCGATTGAGCTAGCTGGGAAAATATTCATATAAATAAACGTATTTTATGTTATCAATTCACTAATTACTAAGCAAACCAATGCCAAGCATATCCTAAAATTAATGTTGTTTGCTCTACTTCTTTTTCGGCGCCATTTAGCTCCTTTAAAAAACTGCCAATTTTATTTGCCATCTCCATGCTCAATTATCCAAGGGCCCGAAGGTAGGCAATCCATTTTAATTAAATCAATCATCAATCGTTTATCTTCGCTTGCTCTCGGATTTTGAGGCATGAGGTGGCTGTACACCTGCACCGATATATAAAATTTATATGGATAAATGGTTAAATTAGCTATGTAAAAAAGTTCTTAACTTAAATCATTGTAGGCAGTATGTCATTTTGCTTTTTTTTCTCTAGCTGTTGTTCGTTTTGAGTTTGGGTCGAAAGAAACTGTGGAATAGTGTGTTAATTTTTCTGAACACAATTGCGTTATTATGACGATAATTAGAACTGAGCTTCAAATAAAATACTGTGAGTTGTTAAATACAAATATCATGTTCAACTTAGTCCATTAAAATGTTTTAAACTGTTGGAACGACTTGCCGAAAGGATTACCACCAAAAATAGTCTGAATACACTCAACGGTAATCCTTCACTTAAAGGAACATCTCTAATATTCTAGACCTTTGCGGTGCTATATATATGTATGTATGCCGTTCGGCACACACTGAAAAGCGTCTACACACTTAAAAAATTGGCAAAGCTTTTACAAAATTACGAAACTACGGTTACAAACTACTTTGCCAAAAAATAACAATACCAAGTGCAATACTGATTTGAGCCGATCATCATCAATCGATTTGGCCTGGCAGGTATTCGAAAACTAGACGTCTCGAAAGCAACTCTAAAAACTACCCACTGTGCTCAGGCTAGGTGGCGCTGCTCAGGCCAGGTGGCGCTGCTCCTCACAGATGGCGCTGCGCGTCGCCTCGCACTGGGCACAGTGCTTCTCCAGAAACTTCATGGACAAGTGGAACGTATACCGGTGCCGGGTGCAACGCCTTTACATCTTGTACTCGACGATCTTGTTGGGGTTGAGGAACTGCTCCCGCTGCGACGCCTCCAGGTGGGACACGGTGCGCGTCAAGGCCGAGCCCGAGCCCGATCCAGATCCTGCCCCTGCTCCTGATCCCGATCCAGCTGCCGATCCTGAGGCCGACTTGTGCTTGCCATCAGCGCCTCCCTGTCCTCCGCCGCTGGTGCGTCCTGTGTCCGTGCCAATGGGCTGGTACACGCCCTCGGCACTGATCACGCCCACATTGACTCCGGCGACCACTGGCTGCTGCAGATATCCGGAATACTGCGGCGGCAGCTGGTAATTGCCCGGCGGCTGCTGCTGCTGCTGTTGGTGGCTGCCCGCCCTCGGCTGCTCCGTGTGGGCAATGGGATACTGCTGCTGGTGGGCGTAGTCCTGGCTGCTGCCCACAGCGCCAGCGGCAGCCACCGGACCACCAGCTGCTCCTCCTCCGCCACTGGCCGATCCTGCTCCTCCGGCTCCACCGCCGCCCATCCGCGATCCGGAGTCGTCGTTGAGGCCCTCACCCATTTCGCCATCCCGATTGTGGCGCCCGCGGATGCACAACTTGGTGAAGAGCCACACCCTTCCGCGGTACAAGAGGTAGCAGCAGAAGTGCACAAAAAACGTGAAGATGATCGCACAGGCCGTCACAATGATCGCCTTACCCGGCTTGGTCCAGTCCATCATCGGGTAGATGGCAGTTTGGTTTTTCCTGCATCGAATATTTCAGGATTGTAAGCTATACTCAGTATTCCCTGGCCGAAACTCACCTGTCTGTGCCGCCGGCCAAGAAATAGATGCCCGTGAATATGGCATAGGCCAGGCCAATGCCGGTGGTGAAGTAGGCGTGGCTCATCTTTATCGGGTGCCCCACTATGGCCAAATCGATCAGCATTATAATCGTGTTGAGCACATGTACCATTATGTTCAGCGCATCGATCTTGTGTATTTCTGAAAGAACGAAAGCCTTGTTAGAACTGGGAAATCATTTATATATTATAATTTGTCTAACTATAGGATTTAATTTGTTTTGGAATGCCTTTTGTCAATTTACCATTATAACTAACAAATGCCATATATCTTTCCAAAATGTTTTTTAGATAGACATATAAGTAAATCTTTGAAATACCTCGGCTATTTATTTTGCTTACAATTTTTTCAAAAAGGACATCCCAATTTAAACTGAAAACCAAAGAGTGTAGAGCTGAATAACAAAGTTTTTCTTCTGCTTTTGTTTCTCGTCCTAAAGAATATGTAGTTAATTTTTTTAAAAAATATTAAAGTGCACAAAAGTGTGTTTCACACATCTTTATCTACAATATTCTGTATCGGTATCTATATAATAAATTGTTCACTTCTGGGCAGGCTGTTGCAGAACTCTCCAATTTGAAAGTCCCAACTCCTAATTCCTCCTCACATTTGGCTCTTGATGACTCTGGCTAAAAACTTTTGATTCGACGATCGACTGACGTAGGAGAGCTCGAATCCAATGTCATCGGCGGAGTCCAGAATGGCGTAGCAGGCGAGGAAGTCGAGCAGCAGCATCGTGGCGCAGAGAGGGATGTCGAGGAGGGGCGGAAAGTTATCCCAGTAGCCGGAGATCACCTGCGCCTGGAACTCAATTACCGGGAATCCGATTTGCCAGACCACAAAGTGAAGGGCTACTTCGTAGATGAGAGGTCGGTCCTGCAAGTGGACAACCACCACGACCATTAGCACAGTGGAGAACATGACGTATATGAACCAGGTGAGGAACAGGTAGGCCACTGGAGGGCAGTTGGGCAGCAGCAGTGACCCCACCAGCAGCAGCAGGGCCATCATGATCAGGATCTCCAGGCTGAGGAGCAGCACGTGCCCAGCCGGCTGCTCCGGCAGGACGAAGACCGTTCCCAGGGCCAGACATGCGGCGATGGAGCAGCTGGCTATCCAATTGATGGGGAACTTGCGGCGCAGCCAGGTCACTGATGCATAGACACACAGGGCGGTCAGTCCGATGCCAAAGCAGCAATAGGTGGCCACGCTGTCCGGCACCAGCGGATGTCCTCTGAAGAGATCCGGCAGGATGAGCAACACGATGGCCAGGACAATGAACACCAGGGCGGTGCCGTAGATCCGCAGGCGAACCGCGAGACGGAGGCGCCCGAGGCCATCGGCTGGCTGATCACTCATCGATGTGGGTCTGTTCCTTTCCCCTTTTTTTCCGGCTCTTTCCGGGGCCAGTGTCAAGTGTCAAAGGTGAGAGCTCGGCCTGACAGCCAGTATGTTAGGTGTAACCAGATCAGTATCAGCCCCGAATTTGAGCGTGCGATCCGCTGGATCCTCTTGCTCGACCAGCCGATACGTGGCGCAGTCCAGCACTGCCGAGAGTCAGCTGCAACGTCCGGAGTTGTACGACGGGGATGATTCGGCGGTGGAGGAGGGCCCGTCCTACAACCAGTTCCGGTCGAAGCGGGAGCAGTCCCTCTGGCTGTTCCGCAGCTACGTCTGCCTTCTGCTGGGCATCCAGGTGACCCTGGCCTCGCTGCAGTGGCTCGGCTCCACGTACCGCTGGCATCCGCAGCTGAATCCCGCCAACCGCAGCCTGTCCGTCCTCCTGCTCCTGCTCTCGTGGATCAACCTGACGCTGGCCTTCATCGGCTTCCGGCGGCTGCAGTTCACCTTCCCGCTGAACTGGATCGTCTTCGGCTGCATCTTCGAGAGCCTCACGCTGCTGGTGGTGTGCCTGCACATCCTCGAACAGGATTTAACCATGCCCTTCGTCCTGATTGGCATCGGAGTGCTGGTCATCTACACACTGCTGGGGCTGTGGGTGCCGGGCTTCCTCACCGCCAACCTCTGGATCCTCATCCTGGCGAGCATTGTGGTCTTCGTGGTCTCGTCCCTGGCCCTGGGCTACCGTCTGCAAATGCGCTACTATGTGCCGGCCAGCTTTTGCCTGGTCTTCTTCGGACCCTGGGCCATGTACAACTCCCAGAAGCTCTTCCTGCCCCGCCAGCGAACTGGTTACCTGCCCCACCAATACCTGGAGGCGGCGGCCAGGATGTTCATCACTTTCGCATTCACCGTGAGCGGCGTTATCTTTGCCCACCGCTGGTCCGCCGACACTTTGGATGCCAACGGCTAGCTGGGATTGGCAAGTGGTCTCCTGGTTGAGATTTGAGTGGATAAGGGACTCTGGGGCTGATCCTTTTGGTTTTCATGTTTTTTGTAAGTCTTTCTATGTGCTCTGCATATTTAATTAAATTGTCACGTATTTATTTTTTAGCAATTGATTAATGAGTTCCTTGACATATATTTAAGAAATGGTTTTATAGCTAAACTTTTGTAAAATTTCATGAATAAATGTTTTAGTTCGACTTTGCCGCGAACGTCATCTTTAAATAATCTTTTAAGATGATTTTGTTCAAATTTTCTAATTTCATCGTTTCTTAAATAATTTTTTAAAAGGCAGCGCAGAAGATTGACTGATCCTTAGATTTACGTGTTTAAGTTACTTTAAATGGTATACTACAACGTGTTTATATATAAACAGCCCAACATTGCTGATATCTCAACAAATAAATCATGAAAATATATCTTTTAAATAAATATAAAAAATATCCATTGTTCATTCCCCAAATTGTTTTTCATTTCTTTCTCCTAAAAATTACATTGATGGTTTAAATGGTTGATGGCTTAATTTAAAGTTAAAAGTTTCTGGCGCTCCGAAATTTCACTTTCGGCTTAAGCTGGATGAAAAAAGATTCCTCGGACATTCCAGGCTTGCACCTTGGATTGCTCACTTACCAGGATTGTGGACCAATAGCCAGTAGCACATGGTGACGATGAACGCATAGACAGTGGCACAGGTGTAGAGCACCCAGTAGAGGTGGTGCAGGCGGCTCTTCTTCGCCTGCCGCACGATCTCGAAGTCCTCGCGCTCCACCATCATGCCCTGGGTGACTATCCAGGCGGCCAGCCAGGCCTGCACCGTGCAGAAGAGCAGGCCCCAGTGGGTCAGGTAGATCCACCACTTGGCGTAGTGGTGCTCGAAGTGCTCGTCCGTGCGCCCGATGTCCAGCAGGGAGCAGACCAGTGCCGCCAGGCAGGTGATGGCCGTTATCCAGCGGTAGAACAGGTACACGATGCGCACCTGCGTGTTGCGCTGCCACTGAAGGGAGATGAGGATTTTAATAAAACCTTTTAAAATAGCTTCAGCAATCTCTGAAATTCTTGCTTCTCTAAACTATCATTTCCCAATTTATTTGGTGTGAGAATATTTAACACTTCATATTTAAAGCTCTGACATTTTCTGTAGTCGTTAACAAAGGCCTATATTTTGCCACTTAGTAGCGATGTCATTATCTAATACTTAAAAAAAAGAAAAATAATAATAAAAATATATCAAATTTAAAATACTTGTTGTAAATGGAAAAGTTTCTTGCCTACAATTTTCTTAAATTAATCAAACATATTCCTGAAAAAGTGTACCTTTCTTTAATAAACCTGTTATAAGGACGGTATAGAATGTGGTTCACCCATTTAAAAAAAACAATTGAATGTAAACTCCCTAACATTTTAATAGGTTGTTCTGGAAAAATTACCCATTTTTCAATAATTTTTATAACAAACCTTTCTTTAAGGCTGTTTTAGGGGATTGTGCAATAAATCAAGATGTCTTAATATTTTTGGAAATAAGCCTGCTTCACTTGTTCTTTCTGGACTTTTTTTAAGCCTCTCTAATAATTTTAGTAATAAAATAAAATTAAGCAACGACCAATTTATTCATATATTTGTATACAAATGTATCTCACCTGGCACAAGTAAAAGTTGTGGCGATGCACATGGTCCGGGGTGAACTCCGGGAAGCAGCTGTTCCACAATTTGCTAACCATCATTCTCTGATTGCCCAGGCAGCTGCCGGCGTTGGTGGCGAACTGATTGAAGCCCTCGCAGCTGTCCTGCGAAGGATATTGGTAGGAGTGGTAGGACTGCTGCTGCAGTTGCTGCTGCGACGGCTGGAATTGCTGGTGCTGCTGTGGGTAGTGCGACTGATGTTGCTGCTGTCGCTGTTGCTGGTGATGCTGCTGCTGGTGATGCTGTTGCTGCTGCTGCTGCTGCTGATGCTGCTGTTGGTATTGATAGGTCTGATAGCGCTGCTCCTCCGGGACACGCTGCGACTGACCGCCGCCACCCAGTTCGGCTCCACCCCGGCCGGTCGATCCGGCTGATCCTGCTGATCCTGCTCCTCCCGCTGCGGCTGAGCCGTGCTCCGTTTGGTACTCGTGTTGCGGCGGCGTCTTGTGGCTGTGCAGGCTGTCCCGGCCGCTGCTGCCGTAGGGATGCAGAAAGTCCGGCAGGTCAAGGATGTGCGCCAGCTGCGTGGCCACCTCCTCGTCGTCCTCGTCCTCGTCCTCCTCCTCCTGCAGATGGAAGAAGCGCAGTTCCTCGAGACTCGAGCAGTCCGTGGAGAGCAGGGCCTGCGGCAGACACTCCTCGAGCAGGTCCTCCTCGTCTTCAGTGGTGCTGGCGAAGCCCGGCAGATAGCCGTAGTTGTCGTAGGCGTCGTACCGCCTGCGGGGCGTGGCCTTGTAGCGATAGCCAGCTTGCAGCTCCTCCGCCGCACTCCCGTACTCCCGGAACGGCGAGGTGGAGACCGCTGATGCCGATGCCGCTGCTGCTGCTGCTGCCGCTGCTGATACCGATGCCGCTGCTGCAACTGCCGCCGGTGTGGGCGGTACAGGCGGTGGAACGGTCCGGGTACTGCGACTGCTGAAGTAGTAGTCGGTGGCTACACTCGGCGCTGGCGGTGGAGGCGGTAAGGCTGCCGGAATGGCCAACGGCGGCAAATAGCCGGGCGAACTTCCCGCTGAGGCTAACAGCGGCGTGGGCGAGGCATCGAAGTTGATAAGCGCCGCCGCCGGATAACCGCCGCCGGAATAGCCGCCCACACTGCGGTACGGATATTGGTAGGGGGTGCTGCCCGCGGCACCGCTGCTGGTGGTTCCTATATAGATGTGCGCCGAGGTGGACGGCAGATGGTACCAGCTATAAAGACATTAGGTCAACGAATGAAACCCTTATTATTACTGACTACTTTGTGGTATTTACACAGTATTTACTAAATTGTATGGTCTTGTAAATTTGCATCCATCAATGAGTTTAAGTGAATGTCCGTTAAAATTACTCATACGTAAAAATAAATTAGTTCATCAAAGTCAACAGTGCGTATGAGTATTATAAGCAGACCCTTAAACACAATTTATTATACAAATAATTTCTAATATCTCTTGAATGCACAAAAGCGCTTTGCTTAAGCGGGTATAGATAAGAATCTTAAAATACGTTTTTCGTTCAAAAGCCGTTTTTTTTGGAAAACAAGGAATTCGTATTTACAATTTTTAGTGTTTAAGAATTTAAGTAGAAACCCACATTACTTTAAGATTTATAAAGAAAATATAATAGATATGATTCTAGGTGATATCCAAAAATATTTAAATATTGCAAAACTTAATTTCCGTTTTAGTCACGGCAGTAAAGGGTGCTATAAAATTAAAATTAGTATAATAAACATTTAAAAAAAATGTATTGATTCCGATTGTGTGGTATTACCTGGCTAGGTTGCCGCTGCCCAGACCGAAGCCCAGGCCCAGTCCGAGACCCAGATCGGTGTTGGTGCTGCCGCGACTGAAGTAGTAGCTATACTGCTGCTGCTGTTGTTGCTGCTGCTGCTGCTGTTGCAGTTGCTGGTGCTGCAGTTGCAGCTGCTGCGCCGCGAAGAGCTGCTGCTGCTGGGCTAGATGCTGCTGCTGCTGGTGGGGGGCTGCGTAGTCGGTGAGCCAACGTTGCCGCAGGCACGAGTAACTCTGCTGCAACTCACGCTCGAGTCGCTGCAGCAGCAATTGTTGCTGCAGCTGCTGGATCTGCAGTTGCTGCTGCTGCTGGGCTAGCAATTGCTGCTGCACGAGCTGCTGGTGCTGTTGCTGCTGCTGTTGTTGCTGCTGTTGGCCACTAATTGGCACCGCTCTAAAGTAAAACTGCGCGTAATCCAATGTGAAGGCGTTCCTCTACAACTCCGACGCGCGTCTACCACATTCACGCTTGGCTTTTGTTCGCGTCACTCCCTGCAGTTGCTGTTGCTGTTGCTTTTGTCCTTTGTGTCCTTTGTGGCTTTTGCTCCTGTTGCAGTTGCAAGTGGCAAGACGTCTGAGCCTGTAAGTGGAGCAAGGCATAGAGGCATTGAGTTGAGTCGACTGCTTTTCACATGCGAGTGCATAATGTACTAATTAGGCGGGCGTTAAGCATACGCCCCGTGGCTCGGGATGAGGTGCTCAATCCCAACCTCCGAGTGGTGGCAATATTAGCTTCTTATTCACAAAAATGTAAACTTTATCTTTAAATATAAGAATATTTTTAAGAAATGAATTTCGAGGATTAAGTCTCATCAAATAAACCTCTAGATAATCCCTAAATTATATTTTCTACTTTTTACCCCTGTTGATAGTTATTACGATTTAAAATTGATGTAATTGTTTTGGAAAAAAAGGATATAAAAAGTAGTTTTTGAATCTATTAATTATAATCTTCAAATAATCCTAGGTTCCTTAAAAAGGACCAGAAACATCTAGTCTTAATTTCAAAATTTGTTCATCAAAAAACGTTTTTTCCCTCCTGTAATTAAAAAATGGCTACGGGCCTGGCCAAGATGTTGAAAGATAAAGGCAGAAATGTGCGCTCCACTGAACGCTCAGAAAGCGTTTCTTTGAAACACTAATTTTCTGCAGCGTTAGCACAGACGTTCTCAACTTTCGAGGAATAAAAAATAAGCAGGAAAAGATGGGAAAAGGAGAATGTGAGCCCCGAAGGCAGTTTCCATGCAAAGATGTTCATTAAAAATTCCTTGCTCTTCGCATAAAATCTTTAACTATCAAATATATAGGATTTTTACTTGAGTTTTGAACTCTATTGAACTTGTTTTGTTAGCGTTTAAATGAAAAAGAAATACAAATAATAACTAAAAATTGTTGAATTCTTTTAACCACAGATTATGCAAATAGTTGAATGACTTTTGTTTAGTTTAAGTAATTCAATAATATTTGTGAATTTTTGTAGTGCTGTGTAAGAAGCTTTCAAGCAATTATCTCCTATTTCTCGGCAAATGCCGCAGGGTTAAACTATTTCCACAGCATTATCCTTGCGCTGCAGACATTCGCCCACCAGCATTAATGTCCTTTGCAAGAGTAGGCGGCGGGCAAATAAAATCAAATCAAATTGCGCGTGCCTCAGCAAAACGCAGAACGGCGACCAGGAAACGCCGTTGTGGCCATTTTGGTTGCGTTGCTTTTCCGCTGCAGAATTGAGTTGCAGTTAGTTGAGTTGTCTGCTGGGTGGGGAAAGTGTCGGGGAAAGGGTTTTCTGTGTGTGTGTGTGTGTGTGTGCTTGTGCATGCCTTTTGACGTCATCAGCAAATACTTTACTCCTGGCACTGGGTTTTGTTGTTCTTGTTGCCCTTGTTTACACAGCTGCTATGGGGGCCGCATTTAGTTGTTGCCACTACCGCAGCCGCTGGTTGCTGCAACATTTACATTGGCAATTTGCTTGGAAAAGCACTTACACCATCATCCTCCTTGTACGAACTGTGCAGCACACACCAACACAGATGCCACCGTGCACACTTCCGGCCACAAGTCTGTGCTTTTGGCCTAACCCGAACTTCCGACATTGCCACCAAGTCCAGAAATGCCCTTTGTTTCGTTGGGTCCACTTTAAACATACAACATTTTTTATTTTAGTTTAACCCCAATACACTTTGGATTTTTTTGTAATTACATTAGGTCTTTTAATTTCTCACATTTAAATTCCACAAAAAAAAATAAACATTCAAAGCGTTGAAATTGTAAATTGTGTAGAAATATGATGATTAATCATCATCCAAAACCTCCAATTGATATAAAACTGTATTTGTTATGGTGGTTACTATTCGATAATATTGAATATCTCTTAAAAAAATTATACAAGATATTAATAAAAACGGAAATAATATATTAGTCTTAATTTTTATTCTTTCTTGCTTCCGATCACACCGGCCACCGGCTACTTTATTACTACAATAATTACATTTTATGTCAATGTACAGAGCATTCATGATTTGGTAACTAAAAAATGCAAGTGCCGACTCAACTTATGTTTTTGCCCTTTGTTACATAGATTTTAAAACCCCGCATTGTGTGTGAAAACTTCGTTAAACTTGTGTGAAAACTTTTTGCTTCCATCACTTTAAGACTCCTCATTGTGATGGCCTACACAAAAAAAAGGCCAAGAATGATAAGAGAACGAAAGAGAGGGAATAAAGTTTTGTTGAACATTTAGTTAAAGTCGTTTGGATGGGTTTCAGCCCTGGCTGTTTATTTATAGCCCACTTGGCAGCCAGAGAAGAAAAATGAAAAATTTGACAATAGTTTTTTGCAGCGGCAATTAGGAGCACGCAGCACGTTGCAGGTCATAAAGCCGAGAATGAATTGCCCAACAAAGTTGCAATTGAAATGGAAATTTAAATTTAATGGCTTTGAGCGGAGATCGCGCAGCATTTAACGTGGAGTCATACGAAGTGAGGGAATGGCTCAATAGTCGAGGAGTTGTGTGCTTAACCTGCATCATAAATTCTCTCAAGTGGGGAGCAGTCAAATAAACACACACACGTTGCGGACATCATGTCGTATGCGCGATGTCAATGAATGGTGCGCGTGGAGGAAGGACACTGTACATTAATGCTAATTTAATTACGAAAACGTGGCTGAGTGTGCTTTTCCGTCACGTTCCTTCATATCCGCAAAAATTCAGCTATTAAATTCCATCGAAAATTGTTTTAAAAGACTTAACCTGCATTTATTATCCTAATATCCACTGCAATTTGGTTTAATTCTTAGCTAAATCTATGCTCGAAAACATTTATTAAATCCCAAATGCTTTGAAAAGTATTCATCTAATATTTGAGTGGAATCCCCAGAAGATCCAAATAATTTTCTTCCACTTCAAAATAATCAGCAACTCTTGCAAATAACTTGCCAAGCACATGTAGCCTTAGAAATTTGCTGTATTTTCCTGGAAGCTACCCACTCTGCTGCTCCACTAAAATAAGCGAAAATAAAAAGAATTTTTGGTTCGTTTTAATTAAATTGCATTCTTTTCGAAATGCCACTTTCATCTGGCGCTGGCGAAGAATACTTTAAGCAAACCTCCCTCGGAAATACTTACACTTGGCTGACTTGGAATTTCTGTTAATCAAACGCAGCAGCTTACAGCATGAAAATGCTTAATTGTATTATTACATAACTTTTACTCAGCCGAAGGAAGAGGCAAGTGGGGACTGAAAGGGAATATTTCATATCCTACTTGATATATGTAAGAGTCGTTGGCAATTAATCCATGTGTTTGCCAAGAATAAATCGATGCGGTCTCAAAGGATAATTAATGCGTCACCAGAGCACAGAGATCTGAGCATGACAGGAGCTTGGCGAATTTTATATGCCATAACTGTGAGCTCTGTATCAATAACTTATCGCAAATATATGTTCATACGTATCCTTAATGAATCCAACAAAATTCAAAAATTATAAATCACAGTTTCACAGCTTTGCTTATCGGGGCACTTAACTTTCTCTTGTCTTTTTACTATAAACACACACTAAGCCCCTTAATACTAAACAAAAACCCTACACTCAAAAATATGTTAATATCCACATTTAAACTAAAGTCAACGAAATTAATTAACCTATTACATTTTTTTATTTTTAAAACTAGTATATTTACCCTTTGCCATTTAAATAGTTCAATTTGTGTCATAAAAAGTGATTTAATTCTAAAATATAGTCAACCTTTAGTAATGGAAAGTATAACCAATTAAAACTGTCCTCTTTACATTTGTAAAAGAAAACTGTTTGTTTATTTAGCATTTCGAAACTTATTAAAAACAATATGAAGGCCTTTACTGTTGTTACACAAATATTATCTTTGACCAAAACGTAAATAGAACAAGAAAGGAAAGCTAACTTCGGGCGGAGCCGAAGTTGAAATACCCTTGCAGAATATTCTGCAAATTATGTTCTCCAAAATAATTCATATGATGCATTCTTAATACTCATAAAAAATCCCAACTTCCTAACTTTAAAAACACCAAAGTTATGGCATTTCCGATCAATCAGTTATATGGCAGCTATAAGATATAGTCGTCCGATCCTTATGAAATTTGGTAGGTCGGATTAATTGGCCAAATATATAACCCATAGAAAATCCCAACTTCCTAACTTAACAAACACCAAAGTTATGGCATTTCCGATCAATCAGTTATATAGCAGCTATAGGATATAGTCGGCCGATCCTTATGAAATTTGGTACGTCGGATTGATTGGCCAAATATAATACCCATAGAGAGTCCCAACTTCCTAACTTAACAAACAGCAGAGTTATGGCATTTCCGATCAATCAGTTATATGGCAGCTATAGGATATAGTCGGCCGATCCCGGCCGTTCCGACTTATATACTGCGTGCAAAGGAAAGAAGGGTGTGTGCAAAGTTTCAATTCGATATCTTCAAAACTGAGAGACTAGTTCGCGTAGAAACAGACAGACGGACAGACAGACGGACAGACGGACAGACGGACAGACGGACAGACGGACAGACGGACAGACGGACATGGCTATATCAACTCAGGAGGTGATCCTGATCAAGAATATATATACTTTATAGGGTCGGAGATGTCTCCTTCACTGCGTTGCACACTTTTGACCAAAATTATAATACCCTCTGCAAGGGTATAAAAAGAAGTTCAGTTTAAACTGCATAAACTGCGTATCTAACTATTTTCTGAGTGTAGTTACGTGTAAATAAGCTGGCACATGCTATATGTAAGCATTTCCTAGTCTGGCTTTTGTATTGAAAATAGAAACCTTGCCGAGCTAATGTACAATTTTCTGCTCCCTAGAAAGGGGAAAGAGATGAGGGCCCATGACGCCAGGATGGAGGTGGACATGTGATCGGGAAAAGGGGGGAGGTGACGTGTGTGTCTATGTAAACAGGAAGTGTTGCGCCGCAGGCAATGTTGCAACAAAAAGCCTGTCGAAGGACCGGGAGGGGAGTCAACGGTCGTGCTAACTGAAACCCCCTTCCCCTCCCCACCTTTCTGTCTGCCATTTGGGATTTTGCAGAAATATTTGCTTACATGAAATTAAAGGGGGCCACCAACAGTTAATGAATGGCCTGCCACCTGTGTGTGCTTTTAATGAGCTAAAGTAGGGACTGCATCATGAGTGCTTATTGGAAGGCGAATTTTTACTGCGGATGTTGAGAGCTCTATCGTAGAGACAACAGCTTTTATGCCAGCGTCTGTTTATTTTTGTTTCCTTAATTATACCATTAAATATAAATTGCGATTAGCCTATTATTTATTAAATATGAAATTATTGCTAAAAGCTGTAGGCTGAATTTGTAATTGCTTCGTACATTTTCCGATTAAAATGGCCTTGCGCAAATATATAAATAAAGCTTTAAAATTAATAGCTAATAAATAGTTATTTGGCACTTCCATAACCACAAAGATAAGAGCCAGCAATTAGTGCTCGAATTGGCATTTCCGTTTTTCAAACAAACATTCGCCGATAAAGTACTTAAAAACAAGAGTCTGCCAGCCTTTAAGCCAACATTAAGTTTTTGGTTCTTTCATCGAAAACAAATGGCCCGGCATTGGAATCTTGTTGATGGCATATATACAAAATAGTTTGCCCAAAAGCCGAAAAAAGTCATAGCTGCCATAAATCAGAGAGAAAAAGTGAGTGAACAAGCTCGGGCCAGCACAAATATTGCCGCAGCAGCAAAATGAAAGTTTGAGAAACGGCTTCCAGAGGAAAAACTGAAGATTCCACGACACATTTGTGGCTGATGGAGGGGAAAAAGAATGAAAATATATTTCCGCCAACGACAATCAGGTGAAATGCAAAATGTGTCGAGGAAGTTGTCAAAACATTCTGATAACATTTTCTGGTCAGGACTTCGGTAAAAATGGCGCCGTTTGGCAGATGATGGGGTACATGTACATCCTGACCCTAATTGAGGGCGGGGTCCAACTTGTCTGTGCAGGTTCTTAAAGTCCATTAATTTCTGGTCGAAACTTTTCCATGCTGGAGGCCTCTTGCAAGCTCCCCTTTTATTTATTGTACCGCGGCCCCAACGATGGCAATATATTTTTCCACGCCTTGCATTTTACATCATTTTTTCTCCAGAGCCCGCCATCTCCATAATTTCAAGGATTTTTCCACAGAAGCCTTCAAAAGAAATTAATCTTGCGAACGCGAAACCAACGAAAATTTACGAGGTGCCTTGCCAAAGGTGGAATCTCATTTTTCCGCCAATAAATTTATTTATTCCGTAGTAATTAATCGAGTTTTTAAATATATGCAGCTACAAAATAAATAGTTTAATTAATGACGAGCATATTCTATGTTCAAATAGATTAGTCTAGTTTAATCAAATCAAACAAAAGGTTTTATTTTAATTAACAAATAAAAGCCTTGATTGCTACAAGCTGGTTGGAGAGCAAAACAATTGAGAAAGCTAGTAATTGAAAGGGATCCGAACAACAAAACAACTTTCGTACAAGAGCCGTGGGTGGTTCACAAACAATTGCTTTACAACGTTTTCCTTGTCAGCTGACTTTTTGCATTCACTGT